GGGTCATGTATTTTAAATATTTAAGTATACAAGGTCTTAACGCTTTTTTCTATGGATTTATTATGAGAGATTAAAATTGTCAATATATGACTGAATGAATTCCATTACAGACGTTCTTTTTTTGTGAACTGCTCTATCAAATATTTTGATTTTATAAAAATGGGATTAGAAACTTACGACCTCAGGAAATAAGTATAATGATTTGCATCATTTCCTTTTCCCCTTCCTCGGAAGCCTATCAACCAAAACTAAAAAATGTGTTCAGAATTTATTCTTCCAGATTTTTTCTCTCACAGACTTCATCTTTCAGCCTTTTTAAACTACATAACTATTAAATATCATATTTCTATAGTGTCCAAATGACTACAGAAATGGTTAAATAATTTGTATACATGAATCGAAATCATAATTTTAACTTTCATAATTTTTTATTTTAATCAAATTTTACAATATTTTAAAATTTCTATGATATCAGATGGAAACATTTTGAGACTTCTATATTTCTTGTTTTTCATTCTTTCTTCTTTATCGTCAATTCCTTGTCCATCCTTCAATCATACTTCGGCTAAATTTGAAATTAAAAATAAATGAATTTTTTGGATGATCCAGCAGCTAGGGTTGTTCAAGGGTGTAATGAAAGGAAGGTTAATTTCTATACTCTGCATACACATTGAAACCAGTTCTCTTTGGGCGGAATTTGTAAACAAGAATAGATGCATCAGTGTTCGTTTAGTATCCTAGGAGGTTTAAAGCATTAAAATTTGATAATTTTGATAACTCACATAATGGTTTCCTATGACCAGAAAATTTCATTGATTTTTTTATGTGAAAGATGGATCCCATGTCAGTCTTCGACATCCGTCTTGTGTTTACATTACCGCCCAGAGACAGTACACTGCAGTACAAAAGATGTGTACACTTCTGAAATAATTTTCCTTGCATTACATCCTTGAGGTTGTTAATCGTTTTTTTCAATCGTTTTGAACTTTTAGAAAACGAATAAAAACGATTTGCAACCGTTTTTTATACGATTTTCAGACCTATTCTGAGGGGAGCAAGGTCACTATCCTCTCCCCTCATTTTGTTTTCTATTTTGCTGTAGCTGTAACACATTTAGCTTGCGTAAGTTGCTGTTCTATACACTTTCCATGATATTTTCTTGGAGGCAGGGAGGGGGGGCGTGTTAAACATTTTCCAGTTTTTTATTTTGAGTAGGACATAGAGGGGGGGGGATCGATGGGGCATCTACCATCCTGTGATTTGTCTTCATTCACTAAAAATTAGATAGTGTAAAAATCAAACCCCCTTCTAATTTTCCTGTTTAAAGTTTTCATCTTCTTTCTTGTTTATCTTGTTTTAAGCCCCCATCTCTACTGTCAAGAGATTTCCTTTCCACTTTTTTCTGTTCAATTTCTTTTTACTTTTTGCTTCTTGTTTCTTGATTTTACACTTTAAGGCCTTTCCAAATAGTTCTTTCGACATCCGAGAAAGATGGTTCCCATGTCAGGCTGTAACATTCAGCCTAAAGACAGTACACTGCAGTACAAAAAATATTTATCTTTACAATATAATTTTGGTTGGGATAAGATAATAATGCTATATCATTTATCATTTATATTTGTCTAAAGCAAAATTACACAAAACAATATAAAAGTTGCAATTTAATACTAAAACTCTTTTCTCTGGATATCGCATTTTATGATTGACAGGGTTGGCCAAAAAACAGGTGCCATAAGATAATAATGCTACCAACGTCACCCAAAAAACAGGTGCCATAAGATAATAATGCTACCAACGTCACCCAAAAAACAGGTGTCATAAGATAATAATGCTACCAACGTCACCCCAAAAACAGGTGCCATAAGATAATAATGCTACCAACGTCACCCAAAAAAATCATGTTCAAAAATATTACAGACCACAGGTTAAAAAGATAGGACAATAATAAAGAATATTTAAGATTTTTAAACTTTACAATCGTATTCTTTTAATTCCTATTGTTTTTAAAAATAAATGTAATGTGAAGCAAAATATAAATATAAATTAATGATTTTCAGGAAAAGTCTAGAGTAAGACGACATTTAAAGGTGCTAATATATTTTATAGTTGGCTTTGACTAGAGTAAAGTGGACTCCATGAATCTGTGGAAATGTAAACCAACATTTTTGTAGAAAGGCGGGGGCTATATAGGCTTCCTGGATCAGTCAAATACTAGGGTTTCCATAAGGGTTTCACTTTTGAGGCCCCAACGGGTACTTTATACTTTATAGCCGTTTAAAGAAATAAATTTCTTGAAAAAGATTCAAAGATTACTGCTTTAAAACGAAGAAAACTTGTTTTATTTCTTTCTTTCGATTTTGTATATTTTCACTACTGCTAGTCCGTTAACAAATTACTTCTATCAGTGTAGTCAAATCAGAGTGAATACCATCTAATTTGTATTTAGAGATCTTTGTAAGCAAACGTTAATCGACGTAAATTACAAGTTTTTTGCTGATATATATTTACATACAGTGAAACCCTTAATAACGAATACATCGAAAGAATTCATCAAATGTCGTATTCTTCACTTTCTGATAATGAAATGTTGAAGATATTTAGTTTTTTGATTAAATGATTATATGGAGCTCTTTAAAACTGTTCCAGCATATTCATGGCTATTTATTTATTTTCGCAAATACTGAAATTTACGTAAAACATTATATAAAACTCATTGAAAAATTGTCAAGACGACATTTGATAAATTCTTCCGATGTATTCGTTATTAAGGGTTTCACTGTATATAGTTTAATGTTAGCCCAAGATTAGCACGGATACATAATCTTAGTTAAGCCAGTCATTGACGTAGTTGTTAATCACAATACAGGTTTAGAGTCGTAGCCGGGCTAGGCTAATAGCATTTGTTTTGGGTAGTTAATGGTAACCACAATTAGATTTACAGACAATACACAACGTAATATACCTAAGTATGTTCAGGTTAAAAAATATGGGGAATGCTGTATTTATTACAAAGGGGGGGGGGGAAGTGACTTGAATACATTACTTCCTGGGTCCACGTTGTTATAGACCTCCTTTTGACCTGACGATAGACCTCTCTTGATTTACTGCAGCCTTTCTGTCTAGGAACCTATTTAGAAATCTGTCCTGGAATATCACTGCAGAATTCATAGGGTACAGGGCTGCATACAGGAACGTTGTCAGAGTTGCATTCTTATACAGAGATAAATGCAGTACACCCTCTGAGAACCTCAGGTCACTCTTCTCTTAGCACAGCATGTCATTCTTGTCCCAATATTTTTCTTTGGAACATTCTGGCACACATTCTTGGGAATATTCTGGTATACTTGAGGAGGTCCATCCCAACCTTTTCCTTGGGTACCTGTTTACAGGGCTGTCTAGGTTCATCCCAACATCTTTCATTTACATCATTACACTGCATAGAGGGCACTTCATCACCATGCACTAGAAATGTCAACGTTTTGATTTTTCTAGATTTTAGCTTTCGTTACTATAGTGTTCATGAAAAGTATTAACGTTTGAAACGTTACGTTGCACATTTTGAAATTTTATGGTATAGAGTAACGTTACGTAATGAATTTTCTGCACTTGAATACCTTATACAACGTTAAGCTTTAGTAAATGTTATTGAAAAAACAGTAAGCTCCGTTACGCTTTTGCATTTGATGTTTTAAAAAACTTTCCCAACGTTGCGTTAAAGCTTATGNCTTTTTATAAGTTGAACTTTGAAATAGAAATCCTTTCGTTACGATATTCAATCAAATCACAATTCATTTTTCAAACGTTAGACTGTCAAGCTCCCTTTGGAAACAAAACATTTCTTTACGTTATGGTCAAAAAAGTTGTAGATACTAGAAAAATAACGTTACATTTCCACAAAACGCTAACGTTGGGGGTATATTCCTCTAACGTTAACGTTTAACGTTAACGTTAGGTATGAGCTCCTATAACGTTAACGTTTAACGTCCACGTTATATAGAATATATCCAAACGTTACACATTATTGTAACGAAACGTACAAAAACATACATTTTACGTTACGTTACACTATCGTTGACATCTCTAAATTGCACACAATTGCACACTAGATTGTTTACAAGGTTGCATTCTCTAACCTTCTCTTGTTCCGGAACCTTTCTACATTGCTGCATACTTCATATTCGACTTAGTAATTGTAAATGATTTTTCTTATATTTAATGGAATAATATTCTTTATGCTGTTTAGTGCAAAAATAGCACTAGACATTTTATTACATATACTCCGTACATATACCCCGTACATATATGATCTCACAAATTAAAGGTATTTTTCTGTGCAGTTAATCCCTATTCTGTCAATACTTTTATCCTCTATTCTTAAATTGCAAATTCTTTTGCAAATTTTCATATTTTTATTTCTGAAAATTATATATTTAGTGTTTGATATATTCAAAGTGAGCTATGTTAGCTTTAAACCAAGTTGACGCATTTTTCAGTTCATTTTCAGCATTGTTCATTAAAAAAGGTAAACTACTATTAGATACAAACAGTCCGTATCATCAGCGAAAAGGCTTGACAGAAAATTTGTTGCATTAGGAATATCATTTATATACAATAAGAACAATATAGGTCCCAACACTAAGCCTTGTGGTACACCACAGGTAATAGTCCTTAAAGAAGATTTGATATTGTCTATTTTTCTATTAGTTGAGTAATTCTTAAATCAAATGTTAAATATTCATTTAAAACCATAAAGCTAAAGATAATTCGTTTATAGAGTTTTCTCCCCCGATTAGAAAATTGGCACAGTTTTCGCACATTTGTAATTTGCAGGAATATAGCCGGTTTTCAAAGACAAATTAAGTAAATACACAACAGGATTAAAAATGCTCGGCATGATATTCTTTAATAATTGTTAATATATTATCTGAACCTGAACTGTTTTTGCTTTTTAATTTTGCAAGTATTTAAAATAATTTTTCAACAATAATGTAAAAACAAAATTTTGAATGAATGTGATAAGATAATTATTAATCATAGATATAGGAAAATATAAACTGACAATAATAAAATACAATTGTTGTGTGAACTTACAAGCAATGTACATTGAACATCGATTTAGATTTTTTCTGGCTCTGACAACATTCTTTTTTTAAAATTCCGAAGAGATTTCCTCGGGTTCAGGAGTATTCTGAATACCTACTCTGTTTGTTTTTCTCTTGAAACGGAAAGCTTTAACACTTTCTGTAATTGTTGTCATTTTTTGAGTGGACTTTCGAGCAAGAAATTCTTTGACTTTTGGCGTTCGTGAAAATTTGACCAGGGATAGTGTTATTATAGTGGCCGCTATAATAACACTGACAGGAGTTTTTTGCTTTTTCAAAGTAGGTAGAGATACAGCTAGTACACCATTACTGCCTGTAATTAGAGATGGCCATCGGTTTTTTAGAACGAAACAATTTTTTTTAACGAAAGAATTTTTCGTGAACAATGGTGTCATTTATAAAAATTAACGAACAATGAAGGGAGGAATTGGTTTGTACAGAGAAGTAAAAAAAAACAATTTTTTTTTGAAAAGAACAAAAAAAAACAAAAATTAACTTGTTGAAATCGTTAACGATAGTTCCCATTTTATGGATCAGTTAGATTTTTAATGAACGGTTTCTAAATCAAAGGATTATCTTTAATGACCGTTTTTTGTTGACAGAACAAACGATTTTGCTGTAAACGAACGAAATAGATTGAAAATGAACGATAATTTTGACCTAAAAATTCAATTTTTTCTGAACTTCAGAAAAACGAAATGGGACGTTGAGGAACGATTAGCGAACGAATTGCAAGAAAAAGCTGGACGCGTCCATCTCTACCAGAAATCAGTATAGCGATGAGGACAGTCTTCATCTTGATCATGTTTTTTGTGGAATCTGACTCGAACTCAATACTGAACAGGAAGCAAATACAACCTTTGCTAGGTTAACATCTATTTATATAAAGTAATCTCTGTGTATCTGTTTGTTTGTTTGGATGTCCGAGCATAACTCATAAACCCCGAGACCAATTTGCCTCAAATGTGTATTGGGGAATAAAAGCAGATACATGTTTACCTTTGTCTACAAAAGTTATTGTTTTGATGAAAAAAGATGGCAATGTCCGATTCACAACAGTGTAACCTCTAAAGGTTTGTCTGATCAAATATGAATTAGATAGCTAAGTTTTCCACATCATTGATCAGATAAAGGGATAATATCTTCCACATTGATCAGATAAAGGGATAATATCTTCCACATCATTGATCAGATAAAGGGATAATATCTTCCACATAATTGATCAGATAAAGGGATAATATCTTCCACATAATTGATCAGATAAAGAGATAATATCCTCCACATCATTGATCAGATAAAGGGATAATATCTTCCACATCATTGATCAGATAAAGGGATAATATCTTTCCCATAATTGATCAGATAAAGGGATAATATATTCCACATCATTGATCAGATAAAGGGATAATATCTTCCACATCATTGATCAGATAAAGGGATAATATCTTCCACATAATTGATCAGATAAAGGGATAATATATTCCACATAATTGATCAGATAAAGGGATAATATCTTCCACATCATTGATCAGATAAAGGGATAATATCTTCCACATCATTGATCAGATAAAGGGATAATATCATCCACATAATTGATCAGATAAAGGGATAATATCTTCCACATCATTGATGAGATAAAGGGATAATATATTCCACATCATTGATCAGATAAAGGGATAATATCTTCCACATCATTGATCAGATAAAGGGATAATATCTTCCACATCATTGATCAGATAAAGGGATAATATCTTCCACATCATTGATCAGATAAAGGCTTCCTGTAAATCGGGCACTTGCAATTATGCTTACATTTTAAACATCCAAAAAATAAAAAAGTAATATTTTGAATTTTCCATAAGAATGGTTCTATTTGATCCCTGATTTTATGATATTTATTTAGATGATATTTCCCATAGAGATAGGAAACCAATGCTGTAGTGGAGCATATGCAGACTGTAGTTAGAACAAAGATCACGTGAGGATTAACAGAATCAGTCCCTTTTATTCCAGTGAAAAATTGAACTTGTGGTGACACAAAACCTAAAATAAAATGTTTTACTGAAGAATAGAACTTAATGACCTAGAACTTCAATTTTCTATGCCCTGATCTGGAAAATCTAGAAATCCACTGTGGACGCTTTTGATTTTCTGCTTAATCCTTTCTTTTGTATGTCCCTGCTGGGTTCCGACCTTTGAGAGTTCTCTCATTGACTGTGCGACAAATTTCCTGGCTTCTGATTGGCTGTCTGGTTTCTGCAAACGATACTCTGATTGGTTGCCTGGATTTTAATGTAATATAAATTTAAAACGAAACACGAAAAGAGGAGATCAAGCATCCATCTCGATGTCCGCAAAACAAAGAGTGTCCATGTCGCACTCGTAGATCTTTGATAGTTCTAACTTTGAATTCTGTAAAATTAAATAGTCAAATTTGCATCATCAAGTGGCAAAGATATTGGGATGAAATCTTATAGTTTTTTGAATTTCGATAATTTGAAATAGCAAAGTACCAAGATTTTTTTATCCATCACAGAGTTACCTACAAAGGATGAGACTTCAGAGACGACAGTTATCAATTGTATATAGTCTATTTCTTATATATTTACGATTCTTTGCAACTGTGAATTTATTTTTTTCTCTATGCCAAATCATCAAATAACCCATCAAAAGCTAATTTTACCCTGGGCTAAGCCTCCAATTCAATCAATATTTTCTCCAAGAGAAAATATTTTCTTTTAGACTGAAGTTTTTAATTTTTATTTTCTTAATTAAAACTGAAATGAACAATTTTAATTGTAAAAATAAAAATAATAATGTGTATTTAAGATTCATAATTCAATATTTATTGACTAGTTTCAGCTTAAAGTTTAATTTACTCGATATTAAAGTTAACCCTAATCCTGCCGGGGGGGTTTTTTACGTGACTTAAAAAGTATTGGTTTGAGGCTGCTGACATTTTCTGACTTGTCCTTGATACCCATAGCTAGGGTTTCCATTCGCAAAACTTTTCCGCAATTTTTGCGGAACGAAACGCAAAATTTTCTTTCTTTGCGTATCAGTTTTGCGCGAAAAAACAACAATTTGCGCAATCATTCGCAAAAGTCATTTCGTGCAAAATTGCCTTATTCCGTTTTTGCGAAACTCAAGTTTTGCGCAGTTCCGCAACTAGAGTTTTGCGCAATTCCGCAATTTCGTAAAAATCAAACGGTTGGTGACGGTGTGTGTTTCTTAGAATTCAATTCTGGAAGAATCTTGTTTTGGAATGTCTTCCTATTGGTCACTTTTACATAATTGACCAATGACAGTTAAGAAGAGTTCAAATCTCACAATTTTCTCGACAATTTTAGTTTTGGACATGCATATTTCCTAAAAGTGGATTCTTCAGGTATTGGTTACTTTCTTGCATTATTTTATATGAGATTAAAAAGATTTTATAAATTTGATTTAAAAAAATTTAAGAATATAATTCATACTTGATTAGGCAAAGCTTTTAAGGGTCACTTGAAATTATTTAATAGGATTAAAATATTGGCAAGTTTCACACTCTCTAATTTCTATTTTATTAATTTTGGTCCCTTAATTTAAACTTTTTGTATCTGGAAGTAACCAATTGAGTGTAGTATAATCGTTATCCTACTCGTATGTTAATATTTTTTATGTATGGAATAAATCTTCAGTTGTTTGATTCTAAGCTTAGAATATCAATTTTTGACAATTTGCCTAAAAATTTACATTTTGCGTAAAACTTGCGGTTTTGCGCAAATTGCGCAAAAAAATTGCGGTTTTGCGCAAATTGCGCAAAAAATTAAGCAAAACTAAAATTTCGTTTCATGCGCAACTTTCGCAAAAAATATTTCCGGTTTTGCGCAAATTGCGCAAAAAAAATAGCGTAAAAACTCATTGCGTTTCATGCGCAAAAATAGCGCAAAAGTTCGCAAAAAAAATTTGCGCGAAAATAGTGCAAATTTTGCGCAAAAAGTTTAGCCATTTCTTGGAAACCCTACCCATAGCTCTGCCGGGCTTTTATACTAAATGCCTGAGTTTTGATCCACCAGATGAAAAGGTTTTGTCTAAAAACCAGATGAAAATGTTTTGTCTAAAAACCAGATGAAAATGTTTTGTCTAAAAACCAGATGAAAATATGTTGTTGGAAAACCAGATTAAAAATTCTCTGCGGAAAACCAGATTAAACTGTGTTTGCGGAATACCAGAGCTGAAAACTTTAGAATGAGATATCCTTAATACCGATTACTTAATCTGAGTATCCATGAATGGACATACTTTTGATTATCTTCTTAAACCGTTCTTTCTTGAATGTAGAGAAAAATCAAAAACCGATATTTTTTATTTAGAGAGTCCCGCCGTTTCCGTATATAATCTTAAATGGCGCGCAAAATTTCAAATTTATCAGCTTCATATATGCGACTCTGATTGGTTGAATTTTATACACTTTTCAGGATAAAAGTACAAGATTAAGTTAGTCTCGATATTAAGAAAAAGAGAGGATCAATCATTAATCTCAATATCCACCATTCTAAAGTTTTCAGTTCAGATGAAAATATGTTGACGGAAAGCCAGATAAAAATGTGTTGGCGGAAAACCAAATAAAAATATGTTGACGGAAAACCAAATAAAAATGTGTTGGCAGAAAATCAGATCAGATGAAAATATATTGGCGGGAAACCAGATGAAAATGTGTTAGCGGAAAACCAGATGAAAATGTGTTGGCGGAAACCAGATGAAAATGTCTTGTCGGAAAATCAGATGAAAATGTGTTGGCAGAAACCCAGATGAAAATTTGTTGGCGGAAACCCAGATGAAAATGTGTTGGCGGAAACCAGATGAAAATGTCTTGTCGGAAAATCAGATGAAAATGTGTTGGCAGAAACCCATATGAAAATTTGTTGGCGGAAACCCAGATGAAAATGTGTTGGCGGAAAACCAGATGAAAATGTGTTGAATGAAAAACTAATGAAAATATTATGGTTGATAAATAATAATAGACCATGTGATCGGCGGTAAATGGTTTATACAGAAATAAGTTTTTCTTCAGATTTAATGTGGCATGAAAAAGAATAAGGGCATAATTATTAATTAACCAGGGACCAGATTTTATGAAAATGAGAATTAGTTAAGCTACGTAATCCTAATGCATTAATTTTTTGAATTACTGTTACAATTTACTTTTCCTGATTTAGGAGACAACAATACAAAATTTGACAGGGTTGGTCAAACTTAGAATAACGGCTGAAACACATTGACGAACATGTAAACTGTAAATATCCCTGCACAACGTAAATTAAAGGCACTGTCGGCATAATTTCAAGTGAACCTCCATTTCAAAATGTAGAGCTGCTTGTTAGATATCATTTTTCATTTTTAGGGGTGTGACAGAAAAAAAGATATTTCATTAAAATTTTTTTAATAATTTGTGATTTTCGCGAAATATGTTCCACAAATGATCTGACAAAGGTCTACAGGGTACCGTTGTGAATCAAACATACAATTACTTGAAATTAGGTCTACAGTCTCTTGTAGTTAAATTAGAAGTCTGTTGTGAAAAAATAAAAGAGAATACAGTTATAATCAGAAAACTCAGAATTAGGAAGACGACTTTTAGACCCACTTCACTTTAATTAGATCAAATGCAAGTATTCTTTTATAGTCGTCTTCACATTTCAGAGTTTTCTGGTTCCCGCTGTATATTAGAAAATAAACCTGTGGTGAAGACAATGTAGGTTGGAATCCCGACTATTAAACCAGAGACAATGCAGAGGATTAACAGAACCCTTTGTGAGAAACCTTCAGGTTCAAGCTCAATCATCGCATCAAACTAAACATTAAACATTTTCTCTGTTGATAGATTTAAAGTACATCCTGCCCACCGGGGACGGTAAATAAAGCTGCGTTAAAAAATTTATCTTGAAGATTCCTATCAATTATCGATGAAAAATTGAAGAATTAAACTTAAAGAGGCAATTATCATCAATAATTTCTTATTATATACTACGTTACAATATCTTTTAATTTGTAAACCTCCTATTCTGCTTCCATCATTATTTCACACAGGGTTACCCACAAAGTATGAAACTTCAGAAACAACTAATATTTTTCGTATATAACCACCTTCATGTTAGATTGGGTCTTCTGCCTTCAATATATCCTTTTAATGGTTTATTTATTGGTTTAGTAAACAAAGAAGCTTGTGTTTAAATGCAGGGATGTATTATATGTATTATGTATGAATAAAGTCTCAATAAATTCCGGTTTGTTAGTCTCTAAAGTCTCATCCTTTGTAGGTAACCCTGTAAAATAAATCAAATCAAATCAGGGATTTTTTCTGCAGTAAACATAAAAATAAAACTATAAATATAATTGAAATTACTGCAATATTGTGTTAAGATTGTAATGGCATCCTTCTACCAAAAATATGTTACATACATAGCATGATCGCACAAACAATATTTTTTAGAAAAACTTTAAAATTTCTAAGTGAAATGGTAATAAATACAGGAATAAATTAATTTTCCTAACCATCAAAAAACATTTTTGAAATATCTTTTCAATTTAAATTTTAAAATTCTCACCTTACTTTATTTTCTTTTTTCATTTCTTCTTTCCATTTTTGTTTGTTTAAGAAAGTGTATCCCCCCCCCCTTTCAGAAATATAAAGTGTACCACACCCCCTTCAGATATATATTGTAAAAAAAATGTCCCCCCCCCCCTTCAGAAATGAATTGTAAATAAAATGTACCCCCCCCCCCCTTCAGAAATAAATTGTAAATAGCTAACAAAAAAAGATTTTACAGTGTCGCAAGAGCTAAAGAAGATTTGTTTATTCAATAAAATTGCTGAACTATACATTTTTTGAAAAACAATCATTCATTTACATTTTACAGTTCAAATACAAGAGTGTAAAAAGTAACTGCCCATTAAATCTAATTTTTCAGTCCCCATATCCTTGCAATTCAAATGCAGTGTAAACCTTTGATATTTCAAGCGTTGACTTTAAATATCAAATGTCTAAGCCACAAGGTTGAAAAGACCAGAAAAGAAATAGAAAATTCGAGGGTGTAATTACAAACTCCTCACATCTAAACTTCTAAATTCAAACTGCGGAAAAGAGGGGAGGGTGGAAAAAATCCCAAGGTCTAGAGTAGGGTTTCGCGAAAATTTCGCATTTTTGGCGAACCATTTTGCAGAGAGCAATCTTTTCGTAGAAAAAACGAACATTTTTACATTTTCTAAAACTGTTCTTGCTTCAGAACTTACTTCATCCAGTCGGCGAAAATTCTTATCCATAAATTTATTTTGGGATGTGTGACCAGGGACCAATTTTAATGAATTTAAACTACCTACTACCCGATTCAAATTTGAATCACCGATTCGAATCCTTCCTCGATCTTTAACTTTAAACCTGCAGTAGGTGGTTCAGCGACGAAGCTTTAAATTAATTAAATTTGGTCCCATGTAAAATTTCTGCAAAACTATCGATCCCGATTGGATCAATAGTTTTGCAATATGTACATTACCTTGACAATCATGAGTAACCTACAGATGGATATTGCCATCACCAACCAAGATGAAAGATTTACTAGGAAGGATAGAAGAATTTCAACTGTGAATCCAATCCACGTGTATACAGAGAACACAGAACACCACATTGTTATACAGCACTAAAACAATGTAAGGGACTTTATGCCTAATTTCAAGTGAATATTCATCCAAAGATGGCAGTGCAGGATTCATAACGGTACCGTTTTCGAGGTTTAAAATTGTTATTTCTGATAATTCAATTACGATATGTAGGTTCAAGAAATATAAGAGGAACTTCCAGGAAAGAATGTTTACTGAAGTTTCTGAGAAGAATAAAAACAAAGCTGAGCCCACAGACATATCATAAAAACTTCTGTATTCAGGGATTTTTAAGGATCCTTTCTAAACGAAATACAAAACCTTCAAAAATAGACTAAATTCATAAATTAAAGGAAATTCATTTATTTCAGAGGTGTACTCATCTTTTGTACTGCAGTGTATTGTCTCTGGGCGGTAATGTAATTATGTAAACACAAGACGGATGTCGAAGCCTGACATGGGATCCATCTTTCACTTAAAAAATCAATGAAATATTTTGGCCATAGGAAACTTTTATGTGAATTATCAAAATGTAATGCTTTTAACCTCCTCGGGTACTAAACGAACGCTGATGCATCTATTCTTGTTTACAAATTCCACCCAGAGAGAACTGGTTTCAATATGTACTCAGAGAATACGCAACTGCAATTAACTTTCCTTGCACTATAACCTTGAGTTTATGGGAATTCATTTAAGGTTTAACAACTGAAGACTATACTCTTTTATGCATTAAATATATTCGGCAGATGCTGAATTTTAATAGAAGTTAATTTAAGCGTTCCATGTCCGTTTTACAGAAGCAATCCTCTGTCTTCTTTCAATGTCCCATTGTAGTCTCTGAATTGCATAATTCGGAACCTCACTTCAACAGAGAACCGCAATTAAAAATAACTCATTTTTCCCTCATTACAAGGGTGTACACGAGATGTAAATCGTGGATACAAATGTGCAATTTGAGGTTCACGTGAAACTTCGTTTAAAAATATAAAAAATATGAATTCTCATCTTTTGTTAGTAACGTGACCCTTTAGTTTAATTCTACTTGAAAATGCAATGAATATCAAATACTAAATAATCTTTTAGACGAGAAAAAAATCATTTAAATTGGAATTTCTTAAAGGGACTGTAAGCGTAATTCCAAGTGACTATCCATGAAATAATGACAATGTCCGATTCACAACGATACTTTATAATTTTGTCTGATCAAGTAAATAAATTAAATATCAATGTTTATAATTTCGAAAACTGTTTTTCTTTTAATTGTAGTTTCTCTACAAAAGAGACTTGCCCCTTTAATCAGCATGAAAACATATATGAAATATCAGAATTAAACACTAATAAACCTAGAAAACATATATGAAATATCAGAATTAAACACTAATAAACCTAGAAAACATATATGAGATATCAGAATTAAACACTAATAAACCTAGAAAACATATATGAGATATCAGAATTAAACACTAATAAACCTAGAAAACATATATGAAATATCAGAATCAAACACTAATAAACCTAGAAAACATATATGAAATATCAGAATTAAACACCAATAAACCTAGAAAACATATATGAAATATCAGAATTAAACACTAATAAACCTAGAAAACATATATGAAATATCAGAATTAAACACTAAAAACCTAGAAAAGCTAAAATATTTTCCACATTGTTGACCAAATGAAAGTTTCAAGGGAACCGTTAGAAATGGTACATTGCCATCTTTGTATGGAGGTTCACTTAAAATTATAAAGAAAAAAATTATAAGAAAAATCCAGGGTGGCTGGATCTTAGCTACCTGTGCGTGTATATTAGGCTGAGTGTACACTGATAAAGGATATTAAAAGATAATGGCCTATTCATACAGTACAAACATCAAATATGCAGTACGCTTTCGGAGTACAAGTGCATGGGGTAGACATCTTACATTTTACTCAGTTTTTTCAGAACTGTTTATTAACGATGAAATATTGCTCTGTAAAGGAATGCAATTATAGTACGTCTTATAATAGATCACTGTTTCAAAATGATTTAAAATCATTGTTAACAGACTTTCAAAGGTGCAGCCCTCAGTTATAAAAGGACATGACGAATTCACAACGGTACCCTTTAAACCCGGTCTGTATCTGATCAATAATAAAGTCGAATGTGTATTGCTCGAAAGGTGTTGAATTATTATAATTTCCTCCATTGTTTCATTTGCAAACTTCGCAAGTAATTTTCCAGAGAAATCATGATTAAAATAATCTACTTTTTAAAAGAAAATTATTTCTTGCCTTTGTAATGAAACAGAGCTTAAGGGTACCATTGTAAACCTTACATCCCTCTCTATTTGACGTTAAAGTTGAAATAACGTCTACAGTTTTATTAAGTTTTTTTAATTAAAACCTATTTCTGCTTAAGTGAAAATAAATATTTTCAAAAATCACCCCCGAGTACTGTAATATACAGATTCATGATCGCTGAAAGTGGAGTACATGGCCTGTACGATTAGTAAAGGATTAGCGTACATCATCACTCTATATAGTATAACCTCGTTGGAAACATTTAAATTCAATAAAGACGACTTTCAATTTTCATTTATACCAAGCTTTCAAACAGCAGAAACACTTAAACATTTAAAGAAAGAGAAGTTGCTTAGTAACAGCTTCTCTTTGTTTACTTGTAAACTTGTAATTTAAAAAGTGCTTGATAGGGATCAAAGCATTATTAATACTTAAAACTTTAGTCAAAAGTTTTCTCAAAGTTACATTTATTCAAAACTACAAGCCCCNATCAACCGACAAGAATTGTATAAATAAAACTATTTATATCAACCGACAAGAATTGTATAAATAAAACTATTTATATCAACCGACAAGAATTGTATAAATAAAACTATTTATATCAACCGACAAGAATTGTATAAATAAAACTATTTATATCAACCGACAAGAATTGTATAAATAAAACTATTTATATCAACCGACTGAATGTATAAATTAAACTATTCATATCAACCGACTGAATGTTCAATGGATTGGTAAAGGTCTAAAGTGAAGAGATTTACTGCTTGTATGATTTCAAATTTGTTGATCAAATTCAACAAAATACAACGTAGACGACATTTTTAAAAGTTTTGATTGTTAACAAGCTTTTTTCGAAATACAAGTTTACAAGCTTTATCCATTGAAACTTGCCAGCTTCTCTTGACTTCTAGTTGTATGTGTGACAATGCCGTCTAAAAGCTTGATATTAGTTAAAATTGAAATCGAAAGTCTTCTTCATTGTATTAATACAATCCCTGACCACCGTATTTATATTTACCAAGAGTCCACATGCAGAATTGAATACTTCTACGAGATAGTAGTTGAGAAGGAGAATGATGTTAATCTTGAGATACGGGAGAGATCGTCTGTACTCACGAATCCCTACTGTGATTGTCGTTGATACGAGGAGCAGGATCATCATGTAAAAGAACAAGAACACGTTCGAATCCTTGCCAAATGTTTCCCTGAGATTGGAGATATTGTGAGAGGGGTTAATATCAAAAGATTTGTTATTGTCGAAGGACATGGTTTGCTTGAATATATAGAAGTTAATAAATTGCTGGAGCTTCTTATGCTCTGGACTGGATATCAGAGGCCCCTTTACTCTCTACGAAGTTCTTTTACACAGTAACTATTATCAAGAAAAATCTCTCTTAAGAGAGAAGTACAGGGTGGGATAATCCAACTTTAAAACCACAATAAAGCTTTGCACAACATAGTTTAAAGAGTAAACATGAGGTGACTTACTAGTGAAACAATGCAGATTTAACACAAAGACGACTTGAAACTCTTCAAATATGACCAGTCCTGGTTACGATTAGGTCTGCTGCCTTGAATACGGAATATAGTCTTTAATGGCTTATATTATGATTTAGCAAAGAAAATAAAGAATATGAATATAAGAAAACAGATAGTTTGAATTCCGTACAGTCGTCTCTGAAGTCTCATTTTTTGTGGGCAACCCTATATAATCCAACTGAAAGGGACTGTTCACAAATTTGAAGATACAATAAGTTTAAATTTGTTCCATAACGAATTTTTCTGAATGTATAAATTAAACAAAATAATGCAGCACCCAGTGAATGTAAAGATGTTCCTGTAAAAGAGACCCTTAACCATAATACTAGCATAATAATTTTAACAATTAGTTCTGGAGAAATCCTTAAAAATTTATAAAAAATAACTAACGCTTTTATGAGACATTCATGGTTGTCCATGAATAATGAAACTTTATTTACGACCTGAAACTCTATGAATGGTGTATCGACATAGGTTCAGAAACGCGACCAAGGGTTAAACGACCCAGGTTAAACACAAGGGCAATTTATTTTGGGACATCACATTATTTAACATTTAGAAATTGTCTTAACCCAAAATAAGGTAAGAGACAGGATATTGTTTAACCTTGAAGAAGCTGCAGCGCTCGGCCCAGGAATAGTATAAACCTGACCTTAATTAAGGTAACGGCAGCATATTATTTAAATATTAAAAGAACATTTCTTTTGCTCTTTGTCATTTTTCGTTTCATCCTCGGTCGTTTTATCCTGTGTCGGCGAACCAGAAACGTTTTTAGTTTTAGAAAACCAAAATTTTAATTCCATACTGTCCTCTCCAAAGTCGCATCTTCCAATGAGGTTATAAAATGTCGTCTTCTTAACCTACTGATAGTGGAATGCTGTAGCTATTTCGTTTCATAATTTAACTATTAAAACGATCTTTAAAGTGTTTCCGCATACTTCATGGCAATTTATTTATTTTCACAATTACTGAGATTTAGGTCTGATAGTATAAAACCTGTTGAAAAATTGTCAAGACGACATTTATAAATTATTTCTATATCTCCTTAGTTATGGGTTAAACTGTATGTTATTACAAAAACAAACATTGGTTAATCATTGAAAATCAAATCATATGAGTAAAAAGCACATTTATTTTCTCCATTTATCATTTTTAGTGCTTTCAAAACGTTTGTAAATTATCTTGATAAATAAGTTCACCATTTCGGTCAGCATATTTTTTAAATGAGAGGCCAAAATTAAAATAGTTTTTTCCTTGGTAAATAAAAAAAAAAATTTTAAGAATTTTCGTTAATTTGAAGAAACCCCAGAAATGCGCTAATTCCCTTGACATAGCGTGAACAGCATCTGCTTCAGTTTAGAAGAGGATAAAAACTTATTAATCTACCTGGAAGTTGGTCAAACATACAGGGTTACCCACAAAGGATGAGCCTTCAGAGACGACTGTACAGAATTTTTCCTTATTTTTACGATTTCCTGCAACCATTTACTTCTTCCTTCTTTGCCACGGCGTTAAATAAGCCATTTTAAGACTATTTTCAAGGCAGAAGATCAAGTTCAAACTTGGGATCGTCTATTCTATGAGTGGGCGGGAAGATCCCCCCCCCCCCATCATATTATAATTACATAGCCCAACCGGGCTAGTGTAAAACTGCTAGTTTCTTTGTCTAATAATTTTCAAAACTGTTAAAATCTTTGGAACTCGAGTTTGTTCATAGTTACTTAATGAATTTTGATTGGTTAAAATCTAGATGTGCTGGTAATTATAATTTCTTCAATTTAAGCTCTCACTCTTATAGAAGTAGCCTTAGCTTATCAATAGTCTTAATATCAGTTTTTAACAGAGACGTGTACGACAGATTTTCGAGGGGGGGGGGGGTAATTTTACAAGACATGGAAGGGCGCGACCTGAGCCTTAGTTGTCATTATCGCATGAAATTACATAAAACTTACTCTGTCAAGCTATAACTAAAAGACAACAGATAAAATTAGATAAGATTCATTAAGATATATTTTTCTTTATTAACACACGAGTCAGCATTAAAAAATTTTAAGTCATAGTATTAAAATAACATTAAGATACACAAACTGGAAATTAGTTCAAGGTTAAAGTTAAAATTATAAATATTTAAAACAAAAATATGGTTTTCTCCGACAAATGTTTTGTTATTGTTTCAAAAAAGATGCTTGCATAATGCATATATAATATATTATGCACTGATGTGAAGTTATTTCTGTAGTTTGGACTGGTCCGCAAAGCCGCTAACCCCCTGAAAACAAAGAGTTGTTAAAATTTAAACTTAAAGAGACTGTAAGCATACTTTCATGCAGAGATGGCAATACCCGATTTTTAACAGTCCCCTGAAAACTTTTATCTGACAAATAATAGTGAAGATCTTAAAGTTTTTTAGGTTTTTTAAGGTTTTCCTGCAGTAGAAATGCGCATGTCACTTTTGTTGATATACCACAGTCGAAAATAATTAGTTTTCAAAATTAAAAACATTTAAAATCAAATCAAATCAAATCAAATCAAATCAAATCAAATCAAATCAAATCAAATCAAATCAAATCAAATCAAATCAAATCAAATCAGAATTTTAGGGACGCCCTACGACCACATAAACAATCTTGAAATGACTTTACTAATTCTCAAAAGTAATGTTGGTTTACGATTCGTAACGATTTTCCGTGGTTACAGTTCAAACATTGATATCTTAATCATACTTGATTAGACAAAGGTTTTGATAGTACCGTTGTGAATCGTGTATTGTCATATTTGCATGGAGGGTCACTTGAAATTACGCTTACATTTTTTTAGTCTTTTAATTGAATAATTATATGGAGCTCTTTAAAACTGTTCCCGCATATTTCATCGCTATCTATTCATTTTTACAATAACTGAGATTTAGATCACTGTCTGGTTCATTTTCAGAAACGGGCGGACATCTAACCAGCTAAAGCGATCTGTTCAGTGCACATACAGATAAGATGCTAGGTACTTCCCAAGGGTATTTTCCCAAGTGGCAACTTCCCAAATGTGCAATTTCCTAAGCAGTAACTTTCCAAGTCGTTCATAGCCGCAGCGCTCGCCCCCCCACAGCCCGGTCTAGCCGCGGCACTCAGCCCCCTAGTCCATCCAAGCCGCAGCGCTCGGCCCTCCATTGCAGCCTGTGGCGCCTCGGAGGGCCTAACCTAACCTTTGGGAAATTGCACACTTGGGAAGTTGCCACTTGGGAAATCGTCACTTAGAAAGTCGCCCTTAGGAAACCCTTGGAAAAGTACCCAACACCAGGCCAAAGGAGACAGTACAAATGAACCAGTCCCTTTTATGGAAATTATAGTTATTAGTACAAAACCCATTAAAATCTTTTCAAGACGACATTTCAAAAATTCTTTGATGACGCCGAAGTTCTGGGTTCAACTGTATATTTCATATAAATTTTAGAAATGAGACAAATTGTACAAAGCTTAAAAGAAACTGTTGTGAATCAGACACGATACTCTCAAAATGGAGAATCAACATGAATTTACACACCCAATCCATTTCAGCACTTTTACCTCGGTTGCCACAATGTCAAGATTAACAGTTATTTAATTTTAAGTATATAGCTCTAGAGTAGGATTAAAAGATTTTTAAAAATATGAATCTCGATTGGTCTCAGTCTCACCTCTAATCGATTTCTTCCTACTTCTCTCTACAGAAGCTGTGGAGAGGAGAAGAAAGAAAGTTTCTGCTGTTGCTGCTGCTCCTGGGAACCTTTATTTGTAGGTGTTGCGTCAATGTCGGAATCTAAACCAGGGACAGAGTTTTATTAATTTGCGAGATCAGTTGTTCAAGTCGAGATCGGCAGTAGGTAATATAGCGATGTACTTCATTAATATCGGTCCCAGGCCAATATTTGTAAATAAATAAACATGTCAATAGATATCCCTCTCCTATTTCTCTTATATCTTACAAAAAAATATAAAAATAAATATAAAATGTTGTGTTCAAAGCATTGGTTCAATAGCTTCTCAAATATTCAAATTTTAAAATACGTAATATTTTTGGCCATGAATTCCTAATAAAAAAACCGGTTAGAAAATCCAATATTATTATTTATTTTTATTAATATTTTTACACAATAAAATGCTAGTTTATCAAGACTTAAATTTTAACCGGTCTCGATGAACTACCCTGTCTTGGTCTCATCCTTGATAAAAAATGGCATTTTTGTCAGGGGTGTCGATTTTCAATAATTATCTTGGGGGAAAAAATATTTTTTAAAGGTTTGGGGATAAAAATGAGATATCAAAACGCAAGTTTTTCATCCGTGTTACCCAAAATATTTTCCCCTAATTCAGCTAACCCGTAATTTTTTGGCGCTCAGTGAAAACATACCCAACTTCTGGGGAAGGAATTTTCAAGAACATATTTACCCCTGATTTATGTTAACCTGATTGAGCAAAGATGTCAGCACTGTTCCTGTTAACCTGCTTCAATGGGGATCTAAAAAAGAAAATTTAAAATTAAAATTCAGAAATTCTTCTTAAGTGAGATTTTAAATTAAGGTTTAATGCAGTGCTTAGGATCCGGATCCATTGGACAAAATATCAACCAAAAACGGGGGAAAAAATCTCTCAAAGAGAGATTATAAAAATGTCAGTAAATTTGAAAGAAATAACCTGGATCCGCATCAGAATCAAATGGATCCTAGCCAGCCGAAGCAACCAGAAATCATCAAGATCAATATAAAATCTTCGTTCACAAAATATTTATTTTAGCACAAATATTTCAGCCGGAACCATTAAGAAATTGTGCTCAGTGTTTTGATTTTCAGTGCTTAGGATCCTTTCATTTTAATGGGGGATCCGGATCTTGGATCCGCCCTAAAATTGAATACGGATCCGGATCCAGGCCATGAGCATTCATTCTTTTTTTTTTTTGCTTCTTTTTCATGTTAAAAGTTTGAATCATTCAGAGATAAGAACATTTTCAATAATTTCTTTATTCAACAGTTGAGATTTGGGTTGAGAGAGCAAAAAGTTTATTTTACAGTTTTTGGTTGATATTTTCCCCGTTGGATCCGGAACCGTGGCTTTGCATATTTTTGCGTATCCGGATTCAAGAATTCAACGAATCTAAATTATAAGCATTGAAGAACAAATTATTAATAGTAGTTGTGAACATACTGCACAAAATATGCACTTAAACCCTATCCCCTGAACCTATAACTCAACTTTAATGAACATAAAAAGCCAAAACTTTTTCATTCAGGAATAAATCCTTTCTAAACCAGAGATATGTATCTAATGAAAAATATAAAGTTTACGACAAACCATTAAACTAAACCAGGTTTCCACTTGGGTTAAATCAACTCTTAAACAAGATATGTTTAGTTACTTGGGTTGAGAGCAGAAATACAGATTATTACAATTGAGCAGAATCACGAATACAGAATGCAAGTGTGGATTTTACCAGCTTTTGACCAAATTAACAGCGGAATATAAATTTACTTAACTGCCTCTTGGGACAATTAAGTAAAATAGCATTCCGCGCTGCTAAATTTTGCGAAAAAGGTTGCGAATATTCATCTTAAATTATGATACAATTGTGTACTGCTACTCTTTCGGGAAATTGAAAATATTAATTAACCAGGGGTTCCATGGAAACCGTTGTAAAATAAAATTCCCATAACTTCATTGTTAAGAAGTTTTGAATAATTATATTTGAACATTTACTTTAAATCTAACTTGCCTAGATGCCGGATATACTGGTTAAGTTATGGGAAATTAATATTTAATAGAATAATGAGACTAGGAGTATATTTAGTTTCATATTAACTTTATAGTATACATGGAGAAGAAGAGATTTGAGCTTAATTGTTTCAAGATTAAAATTCAAAAATGTTTTAGAAAATCTAAGTCTCTCTTTCGAAGATCCACATTCCAAGTACCAGGATTATTTAAAAAAAACATATTGGAAAAAATAAAAAAAAAGTTTAAAAAAAATTTATTCAAATTGTCCCTTCGAAAAAAAAATTAACAAAGAAAACTAAAATCTGTCTTTCGTTAGTTTCTATTTAATAGAATTTAAAAAATAAAGAAAATGGGCTTTTTGAAAATGTTGGGAAATAAAAATAGAGTTTAAAGTTTTGTATTAAACTAAGATTGACAGAGTTTGTCACTAATAATTTGCTTCTGAAAGACTCGAAAACAATTTTTGACAATTAAAACATTGGTAGCTTTATCAATCATTTCCATAGAAAAATCAATTATCGTATGAAACTAGAATTTTCAGAATCGAATAAAATCATAAGAAAATTGTGTTTTTTTTTACAGGGGTGTATATTTTCTTTAAAAATCATTTATTCCTAAGCCCCCACCTATTTGAAAATAATCAATTAATCCCCCCGCCCACCAGAAGTTATGTATATCTATGTTAATATTTTGCAGATTATATTTTACACTTTTCTTATTTTTCTTTAAGATTTGAAAACAAATCTTTTTTAATGGTTCTAACTGAAGAGTAATAATTTTTGCTTTTCAAAGACTCGAAAACAATTTTTGACAATTAAAAAATTGGTACCTAATCAGTTCCATGGAAAAATAATTATCGTATTAAACTAGAATTTTCAGGATCGAATAAAATCATAAGAAAATTGTGTTTTTTTTACAGGGGTGTAAATTTCCTTTAAAAATCATTTATTCCTAAGCCCCCACCTATTTGAAAATAATCAACTAATCCCCCCCCCACCGCCCACCAGAAGTTTTGTATATTTATTTTAATGTTGAATATTTTGCAGATTATTTTTCATACTTTTCTTCTTTTCTTAAAGATTTGAAAGAAATCTTTTTTAATGGTTCTAACAACTGAAGAGGAATACAAAGAAAGAAAGACTCGAACAATTTTTGATAATTCAAAAATTGGTACCTAATAATTTCCATGGAAAAATAAATTATCGTATTAAACTAGAATTTTCAGGATCGAATAAAATCATAAGAAAATTGATTTTTTTTTAACAGGGGTGTTTAATTTTTAAAATCATTTATTATTAAATATTTTGCAGATTTATTTTTCGTACTTTTCTGATTTTTTGTATGAGATTTGAAAAAATCTTTTTTAATGGTTATTTAACGTTAGAACTGAGGAGTTCTATTACGGGATTTTTTAATCTAATTTTAACTTTTAGGGAAATTAAGCTTGAACGAAGAGTTTTAGAAAGTGGAAAAAATGGGACAAAGTTCAGTCTTCTTTATATTTTATTTCTTTAATTTTAATAAAACTTTATCAAGACCAGACTTTGTGGCTGCTTCGCGCCCATCTTCTAGATCAATTGTGAACATGTTCTCTTTAAATACATTGTAAAACAAAAACAAACAACGAGGCTTGATCGAGTGAATATTAGAATTTTATTTTATTAATCAATTTTTGACAAGATTTTGACGTAAATACTTAGTGCATTTACTGTAAGAGATGGAGGGGGGGGGGGAGGCTCCTTACTTTCTAACGCTTCTTATTTAAAAAAAAAAACTAAAGGGACTGAAAACATAATTTCATTTACACGACGTTTTATATTAAACAAAATTGATGTTTACTTTCTTGAAATGGCAGGGAAAAAATTCCATTGGGTTTTGTTAACATCGCGTAGGATCTCAAATGTTCTGGATTTTCGAGGAAAATTATAGTAGTCAGCTGTGTAGTTGTACGCTAGCGTACAATTCAGTTTTATGGCAATTCAAACATATTTTAGAGATAAACACACAAGAACAGTCAATAGAAGAGTACCGTTGTAAATCGGGCATAAACTTATGCCTAAGTCTCTTTAAAGGGACTGCAAGCGTAATTTTAAGTGACTCTTCATGCAGAGATGTCAATGCCCGATACACAACAGTATATAATATATACCCTTGAAATCTTTATATGATCAATAATGTTACCTATAGATGGCCAAACGGCTAGACCAATTTGAGTGAATTTTTTAAGCAAACCCATGGATAACCTGGGGTTAACATGGACAAAAAGCATTCTATTTTTAAAAATTCAAATTTTTACCCGCCGTAGTATTTTAAAAATTCCACGGGTAACGCCGGGCACTTAGGCTAGTTAATAATATTATACCTGGCGGGTGTAGTAAACTTGAACTCAGGAACCTCATAGGTTGAATCAAGAAGTTTAGCTGTAGTATCACCACTCTTCTCATCAGTATCAGTCTATATGATATATAATATATTAGCTCTTAGCTCTTTTATCAGTATTCGTCTAGGCAAGGTTATAATGCGAGGAAAGTTATTTCAGAGATGTACGCATGTTTTGTCCTGGAGTGTACTGTGTCTGGGCGTTAATGTAGACACAAGACGGATGTCACAGTCTGACATGGGATCCATCTTTCACATAAAAAATTAATGAAATATCCTGGTCATAGGAAACTATTATGTGAGTTACCAAAGTTTTCAAAATTCAATGCTTTTATCCTCCTCGGATACTAAACAAACACTAATACATCTATTCTTGTTTACAAATTCCGCCCAGAGAGAACTGGTTTCAAAATGTACGCAGAATATACGCAACTGCAATTAACTCTCCTTGCGTCTAGGTATGTATAATCAATAAATCAATCAAAATTTTAGGGACATCCAATGACATTAATCACATCAAAATCCCATCATTTCATCACGCTGGGATTGAATAAGGGATAAATTGGCGATTTTTAATACGTAGTATTTCGCTAACCAACTGTAAAGAATATGTGCAGCTCTACAGGGTTTTGTAAAAAAAACTTTTTTCCAAATTGCCCGCAGGGGCAGTCAACAAAAGAAGAAATAGAGAATGAATGAAGGTGTAAAAATTATGAGAAGACTTATGAAAATGAAATTATTTTAATGAAATATTAATAAAAAAGTAAAAAATTAGGGATTTAATGGAGCTTTTTGTGCTATTTCATGACACGGGTTAAATACATTATCAAGAATGTATCCAAATGAGAGAAAAAGTGAAATATTTTAGACAATCAACACTAGCAATAACACGAGTAAAAGTAAAGTTTATAAACCATATTGACATTATATAACAAGAATCATAATGTTATGTTAGACATCAAGGGACCACAAATCTTTAAAAAAATCAAAGCTTATTTAAATAATTATTTTCTGGAGAAAAACAAGATTTAAAAAAGAAATGAAAGGCAAACACTTTTAAAAACTTTAATATCTCCCGCTCATCAAACAGATTGATTAGAAAAAATATTCCATAGAGAAAAGTATCATCAATCTCGTGTTTCTTTAAAACCCACCCTAATTTTAGAAAACTACTAAAAGAAAATTAAAGTCACATTAGGCCTCTGGAATTTAAATCAGTGCATGGTATCCAAGGGGCAAAAAACCCCCAATTTTTCCTCTCAGAACCCACTTCTACTGTTGAAAATAATTATTTTTACAAATATCCTTTACTCTAAATTATTTATTAAGTTTATCATGCGCCACTCCATTCATAGATCCGGATCCTAAGCACTGATTTCAACATATTTGACTAATTTTGCCGAAATATGTTTTATTTACTTACATGATCACTGTTGTCTAGATCCGTTGTTGACATTACACTTGCATCACTAATGTCAGCTCCCGGTGTCTCCCTTAACATATCAATATATTAATAAAAGGTATAAACAGGGTGACGTGTACACTGTACAAGGGGTGGTGGCGGATATTACCTCTCTCTCCTCACCCTGACTTGACATGTTTTATCTCTAAAACCCCCGGGAAACCATAGATCTAAGAGGGGCTGAGTCACCATCCCCCCCCCCCCGTGTTCTCATCTATTAATACCAAAATCTGTTCGACACCACCTGGCTGCCAGAATAAAAACTTAAAATCATAAATGACGTTGATATTGTAAAGACCAGCTAACTATGATCAGCATTGTGTTGTCTGTTTTTGAACAATCAAAGATATTTGAATTTTTCCTTTTTCTAATTGGCATGACTTTTAATCCTATTATTTGTTCCTTCAGAATATTTTTTTTTAACCAATCAGCAATATATCATAAAGTTTATAGTTTTCTTTAACAAATTATTCACTAAAATGTCCCAAAAAACCCTTATTCTTTCCTTTGAATCTTATCCTATCCTTTGAATCTTATTCTATCCTTTGAATCTTATTCTATCCTTTGAATCTTAATCTATCCTTTGAATCTTATTCTTTCCTTTGAATCTTATTCTATCCTTTGAATCTTGTTCTTTCCTTTGAATCTTATTCTTTTCTTTGAATCTTATTCTATCCTTTCAATCTTATTCTATCCTTTAAATCTTATTCTATTCTTTTCATCTTATTCTATCCTTTTCATCTTATTCTTTCCTTAGAATCTTATTCTATCCATTCAATCTTATTCTATCCATTCAATCTTATTCTATCCTAATCTTATTCTATCCATTCAATCTTATTCTATCATTTCAATTTTATTCTATCCTGTGAATCATATTCTTTCCTTTGAATCTTATTCTATTCTTTGAATCGTGTTCTACACTTGAATCTTTTTCTTTCCTTCCAACAACTATTTCATGTCTCAACCCTATCTCAATCTTTAATCCTGTTGCAACTTTGGAATCCCAGAAATAAATTAGATACTTTTCAAAAAACTGTGGGCGTTTCTTTAAGTTACCAAGTATATGTAAATATATAATGGTTTCTGTGATATTGCACATCATGAGATGATTAAAAGAATTATTAACTTTAAAAAGTGCCTCTTTTTTAAAAGTTTAAAAGTATTTAAGAAGAGATTTTACTTGAGAAAAATGGTCATATTCTTTTAAATTAAAATATTATAGAAACAAGCAACCTCGAATATTTTTCTAACCAAAATTCCAGGCGGATTTTTTTATACAAATCAAATTATTTTTGCATTTAGTATTAGGAAAAACGACACACTAAGTGATAACCAGAAAACTCTGGCATAGGAGGACGACTTTTAGACTCCAGTTACGACCTTAAATATTCGAATAAGCATGGGAAACAGCAATTGTGCAGTGTAAACAGACCCATTTCACTTTATTAGTGAATTAAAAGTGTACAGTAACACTTTTTGTTTAAAATCCATATAAAATACACTTAAGTATTGATATAAATTCTTTTTCCTATTTCAGAGTTTTCTGTTTTTCACTGAACCAGAAAATCGATATTAAGGGATTCAAGCTGCATAGTATAAACAGTGCAGAGTGGAAACAAGGATTTATTAGAGATTCGTTGGAATTTATTTTTGATCATTTCTTTAAAAACAACATTGGATTAACTCATTAACTTTTAATTTTACCCAATTTACCTGTTTGCGCATTTACTGGGTACACATTTGCATAGGGCGGAGCAGTAAGGTCCGTCCTTCTTACAGGAACATCTCTTATTCCTGCACCCAGACTTACAGGTACAAGAACCCAGTGTACTCCTCTTTTTCTTTACTTCAACCTACACAAATATTATGTACTCTGTCGAATCAAATCAAACTATTAGGAACCCCACTAAATACTTTCAGAAAACCATTCCGAAATAAAATACTAAAATAGGACTGAGGTTTTACGATTTGCAATGTTTTCAATGTTTACATTTCGACTCTACATTTTTTATTTGAAAAATATAACCCGGGAATCTTAATTTCGAGTACAGTAGTGGAATGTTGAAAATTTTGTATTTCTAGAAATCCCTAAAAACATAAATTAAAAATGTATATGAGGGGGGGGGGATGGGGAAAATTTGTAAAAAGAAAATTGTGTGTACTGTGTACACTAACGCTAAACATACGATTGTCGATACACAACGATATCCATCTTCTTATCCATGATGAAGATATCTTCGTTGATCTATCTAACAATTGATATCCATCCTTGCTTCTTGGCCTTTTCAGAATAAATAGAAAATCCGTACCCATTTTATTTAGGATAACAAGTGATTTTATTTGCTTGTAATAATAACATATAAGTATGATTATTGATTGCTCAAAAAATGGCCCCGGAACTTTGCTGTAGTTGGCTTAATTATTTGGATGACAACCCTTGAAATGGGGAGAAAATATTAATTATGGATGAATTTAGTTTTAATAATTCCTTATTATTATCATAAAATGTTAAAACACCTGTTCCACGGGTTTCTCATCATCTTCTAGAAACGCTGAACTTCTTCTCTTTCTTTTTTCCACTCCTGCGAGGGACTGCCGTTCCTGAGCAAAGAATAAATAAGTTCCTGGAACATTGCCGTTCTTAAACAAAAATATTGTCAGTTCCTCCCAATCACTGCCGTTCCTGAGCAAAGAATAAATAAGTTCCTGGAACATTGCCAATTCTTAAATATAAATATTGTCAGTTCCTCCCGATCACTGCCGTTCCTTAATCTATAAATGTACAGTAGTGATCTCTGTTAGTCCGTTTGTTTATTTTGGATGTTCGATTATAACCTATAAACCCCTTGATTGGGGAAATTAGAGTTGCTTGACTTATATAGTGAAAAATCCAGGCAAAGCTAGCTTCCCAAGCTAGTAATTATACATCAGTTTTTGCCAGAAACCACCATTCCTTGACATTGAATAAATTAGTACCGGTTTCTTATAAGTTAAAACATATCTGTCATAAATAGAAAGTAGAATAAAGTGAACTATTGTTTAAAAAGTATTATTACATTAACTTCAGACTCAATACTCAAGTTTCCTATCTTTTCACCTAATTGTTCTTAAGACTTTTCCTTAAAAAATTGTTTTCGGAAATGTTGAAAATGTACTAATAAAAAACAAGGAAACCATTGCAATGTTATTTTTTATTTCTAAAAGATATCTAACTCTGTTTTATTTAGAATGTTCAAAGTTTAGAATATGTCAAATAATTCTTTTCTGAGTTCATTTGTTTTAAAGTGATTAACACCTTTTATTACGATTACCTTTCTGATTCTTTTAAACATTGGTGTTTTCCTCCATTCTTCATCACTATCCTCCTAATATTACAATATTAGGTTAAATAACAAGACAAGATGAAAAAATCTAAAATCTTAATAGATAATTCAAAACCGTTTCACTCTGAAAAAGTTTTTTCCACCTAATGTTTCACTCTAAAAAATTATTCCCAATTACTGCTTCACTCTGAAAATAATTCCCAATAATTATGTTTCACTTTAAAAATAATTCCCGATTACTGTTTCACTCTAAAAAATAATTCCCAATTACTGTTTCACTCTAAAAAATAATTTTCACTTACTGTTTCACTCTCATCACTGGATGAGAACAATTCATCAAGTTCCTCCTCCTTATACCTCTCTTCAGTTACTGCCATTGTCACCCTCTTCTTATTCGCCTTCTTGGGCGGGGTAGAGACGCCCATGGACGGAAGTAAGCTCCGCCCCTTTTCTCCTCGACCAGCGCTTTCAGCAAACTCACTCCGAAGGGTCTGAAGCTCCCTGAATAATGCCGGTCAATACAAAATCAGATCAGATCAAATCTAACTTCGTAACAACCACTCAAAACAACCTACCCTGGTTAGGCGGGTTCAAACTGCATAGTAAATTGCTTATTTGTGATATCTCATGCTTTGTAGTTGAATAAAAATATGAAACTTCTAGTATGACTTTCAGTGACGTTATAATTGATAACAAAACTAAGATTTAACAGCTTTTAAAACTAATGGATAAATGACATAAAATATCAACACATGAGTTAAAATAGGAACTGTGGTTTCTTCGAATTCCTCTCCTGAAAATTTGTATTCAAAATCTAAAAATAATTCTAAACCGATCGGGCCCAAATTTTGTGTGGCAACTCGTATGATCCCATGGAAGGTTTCTGGTCCATAATCTGTAATCTCTATTGAAAAATATTGACAGAAAAAATTCGGATTTTTTATTTATTTATTTTTAAATAGAAAAATCGACGAAAATTTGGTTTTTAAGAAGAACGATGAAAAAACACAGCTTTATCTGAACTGTTCCAGTCATTTCATACAACACTGGAAATATTCTAAAATATGGGAGAAGGAATAATTAATATTTTGCAGATCTGGAGCGCCAACTAATTGAATTAAATACTTACTTTTCCCTGTCCATGAGTTGCTCGTGTATATTAGACATTCTTGCAATCTCTGAGGCCTGGTAGCAGACACCATTCATCAAACAGTTTTACATGGATATATGATGTCAATCATTGAGTTGGGACGGAATTTTAAGAATTTGAGGTGTCACAGATCTACCTACTCCCGGTTAAAATTTGAATCAATGATTCAAAAAAAAATTTAAAATGAGTTGAATAGGTGATACAAGATTTGAACCGGTGACCTGTAGTTCAGCGATCTGTCCATGTATCAGAGTCGGTCTATCGAGACAAAAAATATGAAAAATTGGACAAGACAGGTTTTATACCCCAGTCGATATTTTGTCATCCAAAATTTCATTTCTTTTCTCCCATTAAGAGAATAAAACCTTAAAGAAACCATACCTAACAAATGAAAAAATAGGGGGGGGGGGGGGATTATCAAGAAAATTTATATACTTAAGCTTTTATGAAAATGCTCTCTCTAATATACATATATATATGAGAGTACTGATATGATCAAAGTTGATTAAAAACTTAATTCATGATTCTACTAACTTATTTTCTTAGAATAACTGAAATTAATCTTGTTTTTTTTTTTTAAGAGCTCAAAAATCAATTACGATTTCAAAATTTCTTTTCCTTCCTGAAATTTTAGATTAGATATGACCAGAGTAAACGAGACAAATAAGAAAATTAAAAATTTTATATTTTATATATATATTTTTGAGTTTACTTTTTTAATATAAATATAAAGAATAAATATAAAAAATATAAGTGAATTTTTATATTTGAACTAATTTAGACTTATTTTTGATTAAAAGGAATATGACTATTGATCTAGTGGAGTGATCGATTCACATCGGAACTATTAAAAAGCGTTGTAATATCAAGAATGAACGACCTATTTTAAATTGCTTTAAATAATTTCGACTATGATTCTTTTATTAAAAAAAATGACATACGAATTAGTCAAACGAAAACAATTAAAGCAATCGTAAGAATTGAAAACTATGCAAGCTAAAAAAAACGCACTATCATATATTGATCAGAGAAATGATATTGCAACGAGTGAACTCATTGATGAAAAAAATGATAACATCTGATTTGTTGTTAAAAGTATGAATGTTCTGCCTGAAACTTTAGTCTCTCCTCTACATTGTTGATATCCTTACCAAGGCTAATATCAGGACTCTCTCCCTCATCCTGAATACCAAGTTAATATTAAAGTTTGCGCGGACTCTCTCCCTCCTCCTGAATACCAGGTAAATATTATAGTGTGCGCGGACTCTCTCCCTCCTCCAAAATACCAAGTAAATATTAAAGTTTGCGCGGACTCTCTCCCTTCTCCTGAATACCAGGTAAATATTATAGTTTGCGCTGACTCTCTTCCTCCTCCTGAATACCAAGTAAATATTAGTGTGCGCGGACTCTCTCCCTCATCCTGAATACCAGGTAAATATTAGTGTGCGCGGACTCTCTCCCTCATCCTGAATACCAGGTAAATATTATAGGGTGCGCTGACTCTCTCCCTCCTCCTAAATACCAGGTAAATATTAGTGTGCGCGGACTCTCTCCCTCCTCCTGAATACCAGGTAAATATTAGTGTGCGCGGACTCTCTCCCTCCTCCTGAATACCAGGTAAATATTATAGTTTGCGCTGACTCTCTTCCTCCTCCTGAATACCAGGTAAATATTAGTGTGCGCGGACTCTCTCCCTCCTCCTGAATACCAGGTAAATATTAGTGTGCGCGGACTCTCTCCCTCCTCCTGAATACCAGGTAAATAGTATAGTGTGCGCACTCCTAATACATTATATATGGTTGACAATTAGTCGCAAGAAGCTCTCGTTATTAAGTATCGTCACTACATATGATACTTTCTCTCAAGTTTGCAGCTGAAATTACAATCTAGAAATAAACATTATGCTTGCTCCCAACTTCTGACCGGCGCGGCTGTATTATATTACAGTCTGTCTGAGGTTGAATGACATAAAATGCAAACCTGACAATAAATTGGCCAGGGCTATGTAACAATTGAGTAGGTTCCATGAAATATGTGGATCCATGAGACAAATGTTACAAACTTTTTTTGGTACGCGAACCTTTTACTCTTCACTAATTTTAATGTATAATGTGTAAACACTACTATGTTCATAAGCACTATTATGGCGTAATGGCTACAACAAAAACATGACGTTAAATTAGATAGTTATTAACAAGTCTAAAGAATTTTTATCCACTATTTTTGTTTTCTTCGAAACCTAACCTGTAGGTCCGCATACAAATATTATTTCTGTTTTTTTTAGAAATGAAACCTGTAGTTTATGCAGTTATGTGCGTTTGTCGCATAACAGAGTGTGGGTCTGTTTTATGCAACCCCAATTGTTTCCAATAGGTATAAAAAGTAAGTCTGAATTTCTGTAAATTTGTGCATTACTGTCTATGTGAATTGTACATTATTGAATTATTTATAGTTTAATTAAATGTTCATCAACGTTAACTACATAGATTGTTCAGAATTTTCAAAATAAATAAGATCAGCAAAGACGATATTTATTAATGTTAAAAACTTTCCTCTATTTCTGTAATGTAGAAGCTTGAGCGCAAACATTACAATATATGGGTCCATTTCCATTCATTTTAATCATAATTCCTTGATTAGTCCGTATGATCAATCTAAAGATATTGTAAGCATAATTTTGAGTGAGCCTCAATTCAAATATAGCAATAATCAATTTACCAGTACTCTTACAAGCTCTTTCTAATCAAGTATGAATTTGCTTTCAATGTTTGATAAATTACTTTCCCTTTGAAACGTCCATAAGCTATCAGAGCTGAAAACTTTAGAATAAGATATCCTTAATCCCGATTACTTAATCTGAGTATCCAATGGAAACACCTTTGATTATCTTCTTAAACCGTTCTTTCTTGGATATAGTAGAGAAATATCAAAAACCGTTTTTTTAAATAAGAGAATTCCTGCCGTTTCTGTATGTTAATCTAAAATGGCGCGCAAAATTTCAAATTTATCGGCTTCATATACGCGACTCTGATCGGTGGAATTTTATACACTTTACAGAATACAAGTACAAGATTAGTTTAGTCTCGATAATATGAAAAAGAGAGGATTAAGCATTAATCTCGATATCAACCATTCTAAAGTTTTCAGCTCAGAACAGAACAGTTGGAAACCAATAAAAACGACAATTATCTTCCAAATTATTGATCAGATAAAGGTTTCAAGGGTACCGTTGTAAATCGGGCATCGCCATCGTTGAAAGGAGGGTCAACTAAAACTTGGATTTACGGTCCCTTAAAGTGTGCTATACCTGGGTGCCGGTCAGCTGTCTCAGCAGGAACAAAACCTTTTCCTCATGTTCCCTCTCCAGTCTCACCATCTCGTCCTCATGGGACAACTTGATGCTAAATAAATATGAGAAATCAGCATTATATCAGAACCACGTTCCGTTCCTTTATATTTTGTCATGATTTATTATTACGATTGTACAAAAATAAAACTTTAGAACCAATTTTCATCCTTTAATCAAAAAAATAACGTCTTCTATAAAGAATGGTCTTGAAAATACAATCGATCCGGTATAAACAGTAATGTAGGGTTTACATCTCCTTCTGTCAAGACTTAAAGAAATGCCAGCTTAGGGTTGAGTGACAAATTCTTTTAGAAATTGCAATAAACATGCAAAAATTTGACCATCACTCTAACAAAGGTTCACACAGTGAGTCCCTTTATTACCTGTGTAATATGTATCTGTTTCTGCAGAGAGTTTCTTTATTACCTGTGTAATGTGTATCTGTTTCTGCAGAGAGTTCCTTTAATACCTGTCTAATATGTATCTGTTTCTGCAGACAGTCCCTTTAATACCCGTGTAATGTCTCTGTTTCTGCAGAGAGTCTCTTTAATAGCTGTGTAATGTGTATCTATTTCTGAAGCGAGTACCTTTAATACCTGTGTAATGTGAAGCTGTTTCTGCAGAGAGTCCCTTTAATACCTGTGTAATGTGTATCTATTTCTGAAGAGAGTCCCTTTAATACCTGTGCTTCTGTTCCTACAAAGAGTCCCTTTAATACCTGTGCATCTGTTTCTGCAGAGTCTCTTTAATATCTTTGTTTCTGTTTCTACTTAAATTCCTGTTTCTGTTTATGCAGAGTGTCCCTTTAATACCTGTGTATCCGTTTCTACAAAGAGTACCTTTAATACCTAGGAATCTGTTTCTATAAAGAATCCCTTTATTACCTGTGTATCTGTTTCTGCAGAGCGTCCCTTTAATGAGAGTCCCTTTAATACCTGCATATCTGTTTCTGCAGAGTCCCTTTAATACATGTGTATCTGTTTCTGCAGAGTCTCTTTAATACCTGTGTATCTGTTTCTACAGAGTCCCTTTAATACCTGTGTATCTGTTTCTGCAGAGAGTCTCTAGAGCCAATAAGTTCTTCCATCTGATGTTTAAGGTCACGAACCTCTGAGGCTCGCATTGCGGCGGACGCGGTCATCTAAAAAAATCATTTTTAACATTTATTTTTTTCAAAATCTAAAAAAATAATTCTTCTCAAACGTAAATTTCCTAAGTTTCTGCAGAGTGACAACTGACAAGCCACATAAAATGGATGATATAGGTTGCCCACTGCCCAGCCCTATCTAGTATTACCTCTGAAGCTGTATCGAATAGATACTGCGCCGCTATCTTCGCCTCCACCATAGAGGTTAACCTTGACCACCTGTCCCCACCCTTCTCCTTCTCCTTGTCCTCGTTAAAACTTCGCAAAAAAACAAAATAATTTATTTTATCAATTATTGCGGTATTCAATTATTCTGTAGGATAGAAGGAATGGATGAATGAATGAATGAATTATGTTTTAGATCCTTTTTTGTCTCGTAGAGAAGTAAATGGACATAGTCTATAGATTTGTACCCTCTCTTAATTTAATGTCTCTCGTGTGTACTTCCAATTTCCCCCCTTAGCTCCCCCTCCCCTCTTTAAAGTACAATACAAGCAATTTACAACATTTCTTCAGCAGAAGAAGCAATTTCAAAATGATTCTTGAAAAATTCCATTTTGTCTTGTCAATTACCATTAGTCTCGAAAAACCAAACAATTTAACAATTCTTTCAAATGTTTTAAAAGTGTTCCAGGAATTATGTTATTTTGTTTTAGTTCCTGAGGATTTGTTGCTGGAGATCAGAGATCTGAGCGTTCCTGATGTCAAGATCATTCTGCAGTTCCTGGACCTTCTTCTCAGCATCCTGAACAGTTCATGATATAGTCTAGCTTTCTGATAAAGTCTAGTTTATGATAAAGTCTAGTCCCAGATATATTCTAGTTCCTGATAAAGTCTAGTTCCTGATATATTCTATTTCCTGATGTAGTCTAGTTCCTGATATTGTCTAGTTCCTGATATAGTCAAGTTCCTGATCTATTCTAGTTCCTGATATATTCAAGTTCCTGATATATTCTAGTTTCTCAAATATTCTAGTTAGTTCATGATATAATTGATATATTCTAGTTCCTGATATAGTCTAGCTCCTGATATAGTCTAATTCCTAATATATTCTAGTTCCTGATATATACTAGTTCCTGATAATTTTAGTTCCTGATATTTTCTAATTTTAGGTATATACTATATTCTGATTCTTGATGCATTATATATTACATGAACGTATATTTTAGTTCATATAAAGTTAGTGTTTTTCTGGGTTTTCTTGAACAATGAAAGTGTTTGAAGAAAATAGAATCAAAAACTTTTACTTTACAAAAAATTACAGTGAATCCCAGATAAATGAATACATAGCAAGACTGTTTCTAATGTGGTATTACATATTTATCAAATGCCGCGGAAAAATGAGTAAAATATTAATGTATTAATTGCATTCATATTTCAGGGCCATTAATTTACCTTGAATTAAAAATAAAAAGAAGTTTCTTTAGAATTATCAAAAAACTTAATTCTTGCTATGTATTCATATATCTGGGATTCACTGTACCAAACGTTTTTTTTTTAACTTTTGATAAAAGTTCCCATACACCATAACTGTATTTGTTGAAAGTTTGCTTTAACTTAACATGAACAATTTTTATCTAAAAATATAATTAAAAAGCAAACAAAAAAGTCATTTTGTTCGTATTTTGCAAATATTTCTTCTCAGGATCAAAATTTGACAATGTGTAGTGGAAAATGTTTAAAATAAACATTTTTTTAAAACATTTGCTTTTGGGCCCTCAGCGAAAATATATGAAAAAAGGAACTAAAAACGATCTAAAAGATTAATAACACGTATGTGGCGGGAAAAGAGTTTAATTCAGTTTCTCCTTCTTGGGAGAGCTTTAGTTTACTTTATTTCTTGGAAAAATGTGGAACTCTGCCCACATGAGGAGGAACTAATCAATCTCTTAGTAAATTAAACTAATACTACAAAGCTCTAGTACCCGAAATCTCTAAATCTTTGAAACATGATAGATGGATTTCTTAAAGGGACTGTAGGCGTAATTTCAAGTAACCCTCCATGTGTAAGTTTCTTAGACTACCGATCTTGTCCTAGTTAATCTACAGAAACTCTTAATTGTTGAACACTTAGATTGCAAGCTGTTTTATACTTTAAAAATATTAATATTTACATGCGTTGAGTCCCTTTAATAAGAAGAGAATGAATGAAACCCATTCCTAGCCGAATAAACAGATGTTTCTCTAGGTTTGAATGAAACTATTGAATAACCTTGCGTTCTTGCTGTGTCATAGTTCTCCTTGCTCCCTGCTTCAACTTCTGCAGCTCAAGGTTCAAATCCTTCCGATCTCTGACAAGTTAATAATCAAATATTAGGATTTTGACAAAATTTAAACATTGCATGTAATGCAGTTTCAATAAGTTTAATAATTCACTGGGCCTAAAAGCTAGATAGTTTTGTAAAAATAATTTGGAAAATTTTTACATTTAGAATCTCTTGGAATGTAATTTAAAAAAAATGACGTTTGGTAAGCACCTGAATTCTAATTTAAATACCTGATCAGGTTTTCTTTCGACTTGAGAGCCTCCTTAGCAGAGACCACGACCTCCAGTTCAGAGGATACCCAGCCTCGAACCCTTTCTCCTATAAACACATAGAATTATTATTTGAAAAATCAAGTTTTTACTTTCAATATAAGCTGTGAGCTGAATATTTTTTTCAGTCTAAATGTCATTTTTATCGGTAGACATTGTCTTACTAAAATGTTCATTTTGTGCTTAATTTTAAACTAGCTTATAGATTTTAAGTTGGAAATAAAAGGGAGAGGGGGGGAGGGTGTCAAGATTTAAGTTTTCATATCTCTATTTACAATAAAAATATTTATTTTTGTTCCTCAACCAAAGGCTTGGAAATTAAAACTCCATTTTAACAGAAACTTTAAGAGACTAATATTGTATTCTTTATCATGTTCTAACTCGCTCCATACTGAATTTCATATTAACGTGCTATAAAGTACTCATCGTGCAATAAAGTTAAATTAGCTATACATTATAGCAAGTGTGCTATAAAGTTTTGATTGGTTCCCAGATTTTCTCAGTTTTTTTTTCAGTTGAAATAAAAATGAAATTAAAATCAACTTTATATTTTGACTTCTGCTTTGTTTCAAAGCTTATTTAATCTAAAAATAGCCATTGAAATAAAACAAGTACACAAACGTTTCATAAAATTACCTATAACACTATTATTTGGCACGACGTCAATTTTCTCAACATCTAGAAGGTTCTAGCCTTTTTAGATTACATTTTGTCCCTCGCTAAAGCTCGGGACAAAATTAAGTCTAAAAAGGCTTGAACCTTCTCGATAAAGAGAAAATTTGTGTGCAAAAACTTTATAATACTGTTATAAATAGTTGGTAACTCTCATTATCAAAATCTATAAAGTCCTTTCATAATTCAAAATACACTAAATAGATTAATTCTTCAAACATACATTTCAAAGTTTTAGGTGAAACAACTTAAACAAGGAATAAACGAAGAAAAGCGAAGTAAAAACGAAGAAAAAACGAAGAAAAAACAACGAAAAAAGGGGATATATGAAGAATATTGAACCTGCTCCAGACAACGTTTTATCACTCTCTCCTCGCTGTGCTCTTACTTTAGCTTGCTTCTCCAGAGCCTCCTTCAACCTTTAAAATACTTAGTTTAAAGGGACTTTAGACGTAATCATTAATTTACCCCCCCCCAGTTCAAAAGGGACATGCCTGATTCACAAGGGTGCCCAATATTCTTATCACTAGGACCAATAAAGTTATTTTCTTTTTGAGCAAATGAAGTATTTTAATGTCGTCATTTGTAGAGAATAGAACAGAGGACGCGCAGCGTGATTAACGGAACATGACCAAGGGGATTGACCAAAATGCTACGGAAAAGTGCAGAAAAATATGACGTTATTATGATCTTTGTGTGTGAACCATAGGATGTGTATTGTGGGAGGGAGACAATATTCCGCTTCCACTTTTTTATTCCCAGTATATTTTACCTCTTGTTAACGGAAACAGTTTCCTCCATTTTCCGGCGGAGAACATTCTTCTGTCGTTCATGTAACCTGAATATTTCAAGAACTTTTTAAATAAAATCTTCAAAATTCGATATTCAATAACATTTTATAACATTTCGTTATTTTTTTTCTTTTTAATTCAAGTTTTTGTTCATTTCCATTTCGAAAAAATACATTTTGAATGATTTTTAGATAAAAAAACATTATCAAATAAATAAACTGATTCATTGTCACCTAACGTTGATTTTGTAATCCATATAATTTTGCAACCTGATAGTTAAAACTATAAATCTACAAGATCAGAATGTCAAAGTTTTAAAAATTATCAAAGGCCTCCACAACATCAGGTTGCTAAGATATAGGGTTTCAAAAATTAGAATTAAACACCACAACATCAGGTTGCTAAGATATAGGGTTTTAAAAATTATCAAAGGTCTCCACAACATCAGGTTGCTACGATATAGGGTTTCGAAAATTAGAGTTAAACACATCAAAGGAATTGACAGGGTTGACCCCTCCACAGTCTACATTGTTCAATATTGTTTGTAAAATGTCACGGGATTGACAAGGAAAACAGCCTACAAGGCCAATCTCTTATCAAATCGATCAAATGCAGACCAGCGTAAAACCTTACAGAGTAATACCGGTTGGGAACACAAAACAAGAAATATCAAGATACTTAAACAGGACTTGAGAAAATAAATTTATAAAATCTTTGTCAGGAATCATTGTAACTGAGGATGATGTTCACCAGGATGTTAATTAACTGAACACTGTTCCTTCAAGAAGAAAAAAACAAGATACTCGCGAATAACTCTACAATATGGTATTGGACTCTCTGTATAAATATAAAAAATTGTGATGTGATTGCTCTAAACCCTACCTTTCCATTTTGACAATCTGGACCTGGGCCCGCCTATCCTTCTGCTTTAGGTGGTTGACCTCCTTTTCCTTGCTCAACTTCCACACCCGAACCCTGTCACTGTCCTCCTTCATCTGCTTAATCAACTTCACCTTCGCTGTCTAGATATTTGTTCAAGGTCAGATATTGCCTCTCCCAATCATCTTCAGAGCCGGGAGAGGTAGGAAAATGAGTAGATATTATTGCTTTTCGTTTTTAAAAACTGTTAAATTCCGACAATTTACTTTATTGTCTTTACAGCATAAAATACGGGAAACACCAATAGAAAATCAATATTAATAAACAATGGATCAGGCAAAGATTTCAAGGGAACTTAAAAAAATTTGTGTTCGTGAAAAAAGAAAATTTTTTTAAGGACTGTAGCGGAGTTAAGTGACCCTCCAAGCAAAGATGACAATGCCCGATTCACAATAGTACCCTTAAACCTTAACCCGATCAAAAATATGGAATAAAACGTCGTTTCTCTGAATCAAAAATTGTTTACTTCTGATATTTTCTCCCGCCTTTCTTATTATCAAGAAATGCGCAAGTCACAACAAATCAAAATAAACAGTTAAAAAATAATAAGTTCTAATTCATACTATATCAATAAAGCTTTTAAAGTAAATCTCGTGCATTGTCATCTTTGCATGGAGGGTCACTTGAAATTACGCTTACACTGTACAGTCGCTTTAAGTTTTTTTAAAATAACAAATCTAACTCACCTTCATGGAAACAATCTCTTCTGCTAACTTCTTAACTTTAGCTTCATTCTGTTCATTCAACCTTAATACAAATTTCTAATCGAGATGAAGAAATATTTAGTCGGGGACTGCTCTTTTAAATCGGAGAAAATAAATAAGTTTTGGGGTAAATAAGATAAGAGTAACAAAATAAGAAATATTTAGTCGGGGACTGCTCTTTTAAATCGGAGAAAATAAATAAGTTTTGGGGTAAATAAGATAAGAGTAACAAAATAAGAAATATTTAGTCGGGGACTGCTCTTTTAAATCGGAGAAAATAAATAAGTTTTGAGGTAAATAAGATAAGAGTAACAAAATAAGAAATAACAAGCTAGAAAGAAATCAAATTTATAATGTCTTCCTAATTTCAAGTTGAAAAACATACAACTGTTGATATTTTTATATTTACAAATACAGCGCCCGAATTTAATGAATTTGAGCCGCGTCTCAAATCCGCCAAAAACCGTTATTAATTGAGCGCCGGCTTAAATCTTGAAACATTAAAAACAATTTTAAGAGGAACCACCATATTTGAGGCACGGCTCAAATTCTTAAAATTCGGCTTCAGAGCCTAGAACTATCAGAACTGAACGAAAGAACTCTACCCGTTCTTGGATGACTTTCACAATCATTTATCCAAACTTTTAAACCAGGGTTAGAAATATTTTTGTCTGAGAAAATCTTAATAATGTGTTGCAAAATATGCCAGCTTATGTGATTTTGTGGCTTTAGAATATATTGAATCAATCTCAATTCTTAGGAAATAAGATATTTTGAATACAGATACAGGATTATCCACATAGGATGCTCGAATTTAAAGGGAGACCTGGCGAGACATGATAGTTGAGGTGAAAGTGCAGTATTGTCGAGAAAAACTTAATTCATTTGACACCAATGGGACATTTTTACGGTGTACAATTTTTGTTCAAAATATTTTACCATTTGATTCAGTTGTTTACAATTCTTAAATAACCTGGACAAAACATTTAACAAATACTATTCTACCAACTAGTTCCTTGAATACAAACAGGTTCAGAATCAAAATAAGATATTAAAATTCAATTTGAAATCATGCAGGTTTATGCAAGTTTTTTCAGCTAGGGTCGCTTGTTTGACATTTTGAAGAAATCTGCTAATAAAAATATAGGAACAGCAAAGGTAATGGTGATAAAAAATTGATCTAAGGTACTATAATGCCTTTCATCGATAATTTATTTTAGAAATATGTTCCTAAACAGCAAAATTAGTAAACAAAAATATTTTTTTACGTGTTCAGTCTGAATAATTAACAGTATTAAGAAACTTTATTCTGCTGACTGAAACAACTGGTGAAATATTACAAACGAATTTACGTTCTTATTTTAAAATTGTACACCGTAAAAACATATCATTGTTATCAAATGAATCTTTGAAGTTTTCTCGGTAATACTGCATTCTCAGTTTAAATATGATTCATAGCCGTTCTCTCCCTTCAAAATGACCTAAACCTCTTAAAATATGACGATCCCAACATTAAAATGAGTCTAATGCATTGAATATTTTGGTCTTGGCTAAAATTTAAATATTGAAAAGTTGTACTTTGAGTTGTAAAGTTTTGAGAAGGAAATCATTAAGAAAAAATAGTGGGAAGNTCTTTTCGGCGCAGAGATTGCTTTTAAAAGGCGCTGAAATATGCAGTCTTTGGTGACCTTTTTCTGCGCAGAAAATGCTTCAAAAAGCGTCGAAACAAACGGGCTTTCTTCTGGGTTCAAATTTCACTGTCAAAGCTGTCAAGCTGTTGCTCCAAGCTGCTCAATTCAAAACCATGAGAAACTACGTGGGGGGTCACATGGGGGGGATGTGAATTTGATACCCAGACAAAATATGAGATGCGGCGAAAAACGAGTTGAAATCGTAACATTTAGACGAGGTTTGCTTAAGAAAGAGGTGCGCTCTTTTAATGGGCCGAGACGTAGCTCTTTAAGAAGAAAAGAACGCTCTCTGGTCTAGTCGGGCAGGATAGTCTTTGATCAGCATTCATTCATGAATCTGATCATACAATAAGAAAAGAGTTAATCTGTTTTCATATTTTAAGATTCGATTTGGGTCCCTTGTCTGATCTGACTGATCTGTCTGATCTGACTGATCTGTCTGATCTGACTGATCTGTCTGATCTGACTGATCTGTCTCATTTGTCTTATTTGTCTCATTTGTCTTTCAATCGCCGTTTCTCTATTTTTGCTGTCTCATATGTCTGTCTTTTTGGTCTTTTGTCTCTGTCTCTTTGTCTTTGTCTCTTTGCCTTTGTCTCTTTGCCTTTGTCTTTGTCTCTTTGTCCTTGTGTCTTTGTCTCTTTGTATTAGTCTCTTTGTCTTTGTATCTTTGTCTTTGTCTCTTTGTCTCTTTGTCTTTTCTTTGTCTTTTCTTTGTCTTTTCTTTGTCTTTTCTTTGTATTTTCTTTGTCTTTTCCTTTTCTTTGTCTTTCCTCTGTCTCTGTCTCTGTCTCTGTCTCTGTCTCTGTCTCTGTCTCTGTGTCTCTGTCTCTCTGTCGCTCTGTTTTCTGTCTCTCTGTTTTCTGTCTTCCTGTTTTCTGTTTTCTGTCTCCTTGTCTCCTTGTCTCTCGGTCTCTTGGTCTCTCGGTTTCTTGGTCTCTTGGTCTCTCTGTCTCTTGGTCTCTCTGTCTCTCTGTCTCTTTGTCGTTGTAACTTGGTCTTTGTCTCTTTGTCTTTGTCTCTTTGTCTTTGTCTCTTTGTCTTTGTCTCTTTGTCTTTGACTCTTTGTCTTTGTCGCTTTGTCTTTGTCTCCTCTTTGTCTTTGTCTCTTTGTTTTTGTCTCTTTGTCTTTGTCTCTTGGTCTTTGTCTCTTGGTCTTTGTCTCTTGGTCTTGGTATCTTCTGATTCTACTGTCACTTAATTCTGTTTCTCCTGTCCCCTCTGTTTCTCCTGTCCCCTCTGTTTCTCCTGTCCCCTCTGTTTCTCCTGTCCCCTCTGTTTATCATGTCCCCTCTGTTTCTCCTATCTCCTGCTTTTCCTGTCTCATCTGTCTATCTGTCTCTGTTTCTCCTGTCTCATTTGTCTATCTGTGTCTCTGTTTCTCCTGTCTCATTTGTCTATCTGTGTCTCTGTTTCTCCTGTTTCTTCTGTCTATCTGTGTCTCTGTTTCTCCTGTCTCTTCTGTCTACTTGGGTCTCTTGTTTCTCCTGTCCCTTCTGTCTAGCTGTGTCTCTGTTTCTCCTGTCCATTCTGTATATCTGTATATCTGTGTCTCTGTTTCTCCTGTCCATTCTGTATATCTGTGTCTCTGTTTCTCCTGTTCCTTCTGTCTATCTGTGTCTCTGTTTCTCTTGTCCATTCTGTGTTTCTGTGTCTCTGTTTCTCCTGTCCCTTATCTGTGTCTCTGTTTCTCCTGTCCCTTCTGTCTATCTTATCTCTGTTTCTCCTGTTCCTTCTGTATATCGGTATCTCTGTTTCTCCTGTCCCTTCTGTCTATCTTATCTCTGTTTCTCCTGTCTCTTCTGTCTCTTTATTTTCTGTATTTACTGACCTTGCATGTTTGACCGGTAAGTGCAGCTGCGTTGGATCCAGCGTTACGTTGTTGTTGCATTAAATTATCTCTCTCTTGATGCAGTTTACCTTGGGAACAAATTATAATTATTTCTATCCTCCTATATCCTGTTATACTTCCTCAGCCCATTGCAAGCACGAACGTAAAATGAAGAAAATGGAAAATGCGAACAATTGTATGAATTTTAATATTAAATTTAATATTCAGATTTTTAGAGTAATGATAAAAGCCGCCAAAAGGAAAACTTTCACCAAATTTTCCCTCTTAATCCAGTCTGGTGAAAAAAAATATTGTGTATTCCACTTAAATTTTAGCTTTCCAGTTAAGACACATTAAGATGTTCTTAAGCATTTTACCGATGCGTGAAAAAAAATCCCGATTTTCGCCTCCAAAGACCTCACATTTGCATCAAACAAGAATTTGTAATCCTTATATTTTTACAACCTTAAGAGTAAAAGTGAAAACCTTTGATATTTTAAACTGTGACTATTTGATCGTAAAGTATTAGGAGTTAGTATTATAAAGTCTGCAACATGAGATTGCCAAGATATAGGGATTAGAAAGTTAGAATTTCAGGGGCAATTTATCAGTTTCCTTTTCTATTCCATCTGGGGGACTCAATGATTGATCTATATTTTTTGTCAGAAAGAGCAGATAAGATTTCGTATACTTTCTTGCCAATCTTCAATTTTAAATAATTAGATGAATGATTTTCGTTTTTGAAAATAATTTACTCACCCATCTCTTCTTCCATAGTCTTTAACTGCTCTTCATACATTTTCTTCATTAGAACAAACTTCTCGTCGTTAGCTCCCATCTTCTCTGCTAGTTCCTGTATATTGTTTATGTTTAAAGGGACTGTAAACGAAACTAGAAGTCAAGAGTCCGATTAACTATGGTACACTTTTAACTTTCATGAGAATAAAATAATGGAAGATAAAGTTGTAAAAAGTAATAGAAATTGTTCATTTATTCAAAATCAGACAAAGGTTTCAAGGGTATCATTGTGCATAAAACATAATAATATATAAACGGAGGGTAACTTTAAATTCCGGCTATCTCTTTAATTTAGAAGATATTGGCTGAAGTAACAGGCGTTCCCCGTGGAATTAAAAAAATTAAGATATTTTTTGGAATTTTGCTTAGTCTATGTTAACACCCGGGATACCCCGAGTTCCCTCACAAAAATTCAGACCATTCGATCCAGCCGTTTGGCCGGCCAGAGGAAAAATATATACGCATGTCTTGTTTTATTATAATTACATTTACAATCCCTGCCTAAAGGCCCCTCAACCACATATTCTCTATTTTTCCAAAATCATAAACTTCGTTACAAAATCTTTAAGCAAAAAACTATAAAAATACAAGAAAAAAGGAAAGAAGTTTTGAATTTTCAGGCTGAAAGACCATTAAAAAATCATTCAAAAAATTAATAATCAAAATTAAAAAAGTCGAGAAAGATTTTCAACTAATATTAACCGAAGAAAAAATTGTCTCCAAAAATTCAAAAATTTTTTTTATCACCAAATGTAAGAAGGTCAATCTGTGAGTTTTAGTTTAAAGTTGTACGAAGTATAAACTGATGGTGGCATTATAGCAAAATTTAACAGCTCCTACAAAAACAGGGGCGTTAAGCATGGTAGTATAGTGTATAAACAAAACCTGATGAAGACTTTATATAATTCTTCTGATTAAGAGTAGATAAAATTAATTCTTCTGATTAAGAGTAGATAAAATTAATTCTTCTGATAAAGAGTAGATAAAATTAAGTTACTTGTTTAGCAAGGAGAACTTTGTTCAGTTCCTGTAGTTTCCCAGCAAGCTCTGTTTGACGCAAAGCATGCGTAGCTCCGCCAAAATCCTGAATATAGATTTTATTAAGTTCCTGTAGTTTCCCAGCAAGCTCTGTCTGAAGAAAAGCATGCGAAGCAAGTAACTCCACCCAAATCCTAAATACGAGAACATTATTTAGTTTTTATAGTTTCCCAGCAAGCTCAATCTGACGCAAAGCATGCCATAGGTCCACCTAAAACCTAAATTTAGAATATTGTTTAGTTTCTGTCTCTAGTTTACCGGCCATCACGCGCACGGTTTGAAGCAAAACATGCGTATGTTAAAAAGATTCGTTGAGGGATGGATTAGAAATAATCATGGAAGGACGAAATAGAAAATATTATGGTATGGATTGATTAGAAAGATTTTTGCAAATTAATCAAAAATATTTTGTGTAAACCTGTTTAAAACATTATTCACTTAATTAAAGATAATAGAAAAATATTTTTTCTGAATTAAAAAACACTATGAATATTGAATACCCCTGAAATTTCCAAGAAAACCTTGCTGCCGTGCCGGTACGCTACCTTTCCCAGCAGGCACCGGGTCAGCGCGGCAGGTGAGTCCAGTGACCACACCAGTCAGCACTCAGCAGTCCACTCCACTTAAGTGCAGGGTTGCCAAGTGGTTCTGTACGGAACCAAATAACTCAAAAGTGGTTCTCTAGAAAAGTTGTGGTTCTGGTGGTTCCCATCTGGTTCCAAGATTTTTTTGGGTATTTATTGAGAAAAACGTTAAAATGGCTAGATTTAGCAAATCATTTTTACATAATTCTTGAATAAGATTTTCTGATTAATGAAAATGAAAGGATATTTTTATAAACTATAAAGTTTAAGCACCTCCATTCCCTTAATAATTTAATGCCCACTTTATATTTGATGTGATAGTTTTGCAACTGCCCTCAACTAAGCGGGTCACGTATCTTTTTAAGGTCTACAGAAAAGGTTCAAAAAATTTATACTGTAAGGAACTATTAAGTAAAAGTTGAAGACATAAAGCAGACAGAACCTATAATAAAAAAGTGAATTGGACAATCTTTTGTTAGCATTTTTAGCATTGATACTGAAATACCATATTACCAAACTACCATATAACCCAGCCTAAAATCCGAACTGTTTATTTTTGGAATTAAAGACCTCTTATTAGAAGAACAGTTTATAGTTAATGGATTGGCTTAATTCTAGTTTCGATAATATAGATATAACCGATTTTTTTTACTAGAACACGTAAAACGGCCGTCTTACAGTTCTAAAGTCATCACATTCTCCATGAATTTCAAAAATTGCCTTTCAATGGGCAAGTTTTTACCCTCTATATTAATTTTTACTTTAAAATGCCATGTATTTGCCAAAAAAATAGTTATTTTTTCCCCATTTCAGTGACCCTTTAAAAAAATCATGTGGAAACAATCATTTTCAAGAAGGGATCGCATTTATTTTAAAATCTAATACGGACTGATATACCCGGAGATGGGAAAAGTTCAGAGTAGTTATACAGCCCTCTAGCAGAAAGTGTTGAATAAAAAGTATTTTTTCTTGTTAAAATGCTCTTTTTTTCATTGGTTCTGAAGTGGTTTTGCATGTTCTATTTTGGTTCCCAACTGGTTCCCTGCAGTGAAATATGTGGTTCTGAGCAAAATTTTGGAGTTGGCAACCCTGCTTAAGTGGTACTGGTAGTTGGTAACTTTGCACCAGTGTAATTCAAACTTCAAACGTTAGCTTACACAGAAATTCATATTCTTTCAACAATTGGAAATTCGCTACAGTTCCTGTTGAAGAGTTTAAGAAATGGAGAAGTTAATTTGAACGAAATTAAATGGAGAAAGCAGTAACACAAGGTATAAAAGAATATATTTTATAAAAAACTAACTGGGAAATTGTGTGAATTTTAACTTGAAAATAACAGTCCACATTATTGATCAGATCAGGGTCACTTGAATTTACTTGTACAGTCCCTTTAAAAACCTTTTTGATGAATATATCTTTTAAATCATTCCAAAAAAATTGAATTAGTTTGTTTCAAAATGACGATTTATTACGTTAGTTTTTAAACTGAACGTCTGCATTTAATAAAATCGTTTGTTTAGTAAAATACTTTGTTCAATAAAATTTTTCGTTATTTGATAAGACTATTTTTTCAACATTTTTTCGAAAAAGTTAATGTTCAGTTCTTCTTTCCTCTTCTAAAAACTTTTCTTTCTTTTCTTTCATCCATTCATGCTTTCCTTCTCTTTTCTTTTCTATTTTTTCATCTATTTTTTTTCAGATAGAACTGAGAAATTTGTAATCAGAATACAGAATGAAGTTCAAATAATATGGCCATCTATGAAATACTACTCAGTTAGAAGCAAAAATCGATGAGAATTTTGCCAATTACTTAAAAACTACAAAGTCGACCCTGTCTAAAAAAATCGGGAGACTTTTATAAGCAGGCTGAATCCTTTATGTGTGCAGTGATTAGAAAAGAAATCTTCAAAAGATTTTAAAACAGCTCACCAATTTCAAATTCTTCCAGAAATCAATAGAAGCTCTGGGAAGCAAGATTCTGTAACAAAAGAAACCAAGTGAAAATTAATTTGTATTAAGTTTTAATTTGTTTTCCCCAAACGTCTCCGTTCAATTTCTCTGTTCATGCCAATTATTTAATTATTTCATGACAACCTGTTTGTGACAAACCAGAGGCTGAATTTAAAGAATTTTAGCGCCAGCTTAAATTTAAGCTGTGGCTCAGATATGGTTGGTTTCACTTAAAGTTGTATTCAATGTTTCAAGATTTAAGCCGGTGCTCAATTGAAACCGGCTTTTGGCGGATTTAAGACTCGGCTCAAATTCATTAAATTCGGACACAGTATCCTTTAATAATTATGTTTGTTCTCAAATATGTAATGCCTATTTATAGATGTATCATAATATGTACCAATCAATAATGTTTCAATCAACCAATCTCTTAATTAATTTTTTCGGCCTCAAGTCACTAACCAGCTTTAATTAAGTCTTCAATTTACATGACAATAATTAAAACCCATGATTTAATGTCAACATGTTCACAATAACCAATGTCATGCAATTATTATATTCACCATCATAAAGTAATGTTTATCTGTAAATCTAGCACAATATGTACAGTTTTTTTAACATGTTTTTATCAGCTTCATTATTTAGTTTGATTTTTTTGTGTTTGAAAATACATTTATTAATCAAATTATTTTTTTCCATCTATTGTTTTTTAAGGCATCAAGAAAGCATTTTTTTAGACATGTTTCAACCTTTTTTGGCGTGTTTCTTAACCTGGGTCTTTAATAGCGACTTAAAATGGTTGAAATATGTCAAAATTAAGGTTTTTTTTATTTCAAAACAAAATTTTTGACGCTGTAACTAGCGTTTGTTGAAGTATTAAAATCTAGCAGCTTTTTTGCTCTTTTCGGCGCAGAGATTGCTTTTAAAAGGCGCTGAAATATGCAGTCTTTGGTGACCTTTTTCTGCGCAGAAAATGCTTCAAAAAGCGTCGAAACAAACGGGCTTTCTTCTGGGTTCAAATTTCACTGTCAAAGCTGTCAAGCTGTTGCTCCAAGCTGCTCAATTCAAAACCGAGAGAAAACTTAAAATAAACTACATGGGGGGTCACATGGGGGATGTGAATTTGATACCCAGACAAAATATGAGATGCGGCGAAAAACGAGTTGAAATCGTAACATTTAGACGAAATAGCAGTGATTACTCGACTTTCTTCCTACAAGTTACAACTCTTTGCAAAGTTGCTCCCTTCAAAAAAATCATTCCAGATTGATAAATCTGCTTTTAACACCTTTTAAAATGGATATCATAGACACCAGCAAGGATGATGTCTTCATGCGCCTCATACTGTAAGGTCCGCGATACTGCAGAGCTTCCTGGAGCACAGGTGGAGAGGCCACCCTGGGAGGATCATGGATGAGCTTGAATACATCAGGGTAATGATAATTATAAGTACAAGCGTCTTAATGTTGAGATCCTTCAGGGATCCCGGATCCATGACCAAGCTCATGATCCTAAATAGGATCAGTTATTAAATTTGATTACTATAAAAACTCAAAAAATTTGGCCTCTTAGAAATCCGGCATAAGCATAATATACTCTAAAGGTTCACATACAGTCAAATTATCTTGCAAGTACAACTTTATCCCTCCTTCAAACAAAAATAGCAGAACCACATTGTTTCTAAAAAATCGACATTTCATCATACTGTTATGTTAGAAATAATCAGTATTTAAACTAGAGATAGTAAAACACATTTTCGGAAATGAAAAACTCAACTTAAACAATTGTAATCTATATTTAATAAAGCTCTTCGTTCATCATTTATATGTTTTCTATGGCTGGTCAAACGACTGAATCAAATGGGCTTAATTTTAGTGAGGAACTCTTCGGTACCCTTGGGGATGACATAAGCTAAATAAATTATAATTTTTTTGTTTAAATTCAATTTTTAAAACTCCACGGGCAACAACGGGCACTACAGCTAGTTTGTAATCAAAATAAAGATTACAAAATGGCAGTGCAATGATTAGAGTAAATTAAATCCAAATTTAAAAAATTGTCTTTTACTACCGGTCCAGTCCAAACTGAAATGAATGTGCTATAGATAGATTTTTTATTCAAACTTAGCTGTCATGGTGGCTCTGGTTCACTATACAATCTTCTTAGTGCACTGAATGGACAGCAAACTAATTTTTTTATGTTTTCTACTTGACTCCAGTTTAAGATATAGATAGATTTTTCATTCGAACTTCTGTCATAGTGGCTCATGGTTCACGAATACAATCTTCTTAGTGCACTGAATGAACAGCAAACTTTTTTTTCCAGTTAAAGATTTGAAAAGTGTGAAAGCTTGAGTTCTAGGGTGGGGGGGGGGCCCCCCTTTACATGTCTAGGGCATGGGGCGCTGCCCCCTTGCCTCCCCTGTATACGCCCTTGCATACGATGTAGTATATACGACAGCGCAGATATGATCTCCCACATCTAAACACTTCGATGTCGGAACAATGTAATATTGTAACAAATTCAAGAAAACACGAAGACGATTACTACTGTGTAGCGAAGTTGACCGCGCAAGATTCAAAATATTTTTAAACTTTGCTTTTATTTCTCATTTCATGCTATTATTCAATAAAGTTACCGAATATCCCTTTTGTTCTTTTATTTGTGTCAACAAATATATGTATACTAGATAACCAGAAAACTGTTTAATAGGAGGACGACATTAAAGCAAAACTGAAGTGCATTTGATGTTGTTACAAAGCTTAAAGCTTAACAAGTAAGTTATTTGATCACTTATCCAGAGGCACAACTAGGGGGGGGGGCGACCGGGCGCCCGCCCTCCTATAGCACCTGAGAGGGCCCTCCCCCCCCCTGCAGAATGAGGAGACAGATGGCGAATGCCATAATCACAGGAGCCAGGAATACTAAAACCAAAAGAGTTATTGTTGAAATTGTATTCTATAACTATGGTTAGTAACTTGTTTGAAAAATATATTTTTATCTTCCTGAATTCTCAAGGCTAAAGGCTATTGTAAACATTTAATGTTAAAAAGTTACGAACTCTATTTAAAACTTTGAACTATTTTGGTAAAATATTCTAAGTTTGAAATATCAAAGGTTTAAACTACTCGGTGCAAAGATTCAGGAAATAGAATATTTGAGTTTGTGGCAAAAACTCAGCTCCAAATCTAGAGAACATTCTGTGACTGAACCTGGCAAACTTCTAATTGATTATCATAAATGATAACTGTAACCTTTTTATATCTTCTTTGAAAGAACTTCTTATAAATTCGAAAATGAAATAAGATTATGAATGTTGGTTAGAATGATCAATCAAAAATTCAATAACTTCAGGAAAAAACGTAACATTATCAGTCCTTTTTCAATGGTAGATGATTAAAATTATATATGTATTTTGATGTTTTTTTTCCCGAATATAAATGATTATTTCTATAATAATATCTGTAATTAAACAAGGTACTTAACAAATTTTCTTTGCCGCTGCGCGCACACATGAAAAGAATTGATTGGCTCATATTGAATTCATTTTACAGCTGTTGAAAGTATAGATTTTTAAAAAACTCAAGAAAAAAACGATTTGAATTGAACACAGCCAAATCTGCATGCAACAACTGAAAATTTCCTTTTTTTCGACATCAAACCCTTAAAAAAGCACTTTTATTTTGAAAAAATTCTAAAGGGGGGCAAACCCTCCCCCACGCCTCCCCCTCTCCCGATCATTACAAAAACAATATTTTGCCCTCCCCCCCCCTAGCAAAAGTGCTACTGCTAGTTAATTGCGCCTCAGCACTCATCAAGTGAAATGGTTCTGTTTTCTCTGCACAAATGCTGTGCCTAAGCTGTTGTTGACATATAAAAGTCAGCTTAATAAATTATTTATGTAATTTTCTTAAAAGTGCATCAGACACAATTCCTCTGAATACTGTGGTGTAAGCTTCAATGAGTGAAAAAAAGAGATGGAAACGTTTCTTAAAAAACATCTATATTTTCATAGAAACGACACATATTGTATAATTATAAATGATGATGTCAAAGATATTACTGAAGGCAGTATTGATTAAAGCTTGAAAAGGTTTTAGTTAAAATGAGAAATGAAAGTAATTTTTTATATGTGTCCGGGTCCCCCTCTCTCAGGGTGGGGGGCACGCGTAGAGGGCCTCTTTCGAGTACGCCCCTGGGTCGACGTTGGGCATCCGGGTTTCTTGGCACTTTTCTCCTTTTGCAATCATATCTTTTGCCATTTTAACAGTTTTTATTATAAGCATTAAGCAATTTGCATAACATTTGAATTTATTATTCCTGTTTGGTGAGTAAATTTCGTTTGATTTGAAAAGTATTAGTTAAGATTAACATTTAAATTAAAAGGTTATAAATAAAAAGAAGTCATTTCAGAAAAATCCCTGTTATGTGAACTTAAAATAGCCCTGTAAATCAATTCATTACTCGAGCTCTTTGATTGGCTGAAACTTGCCAGAACGACTTAATCTCACCAATCAGAAAATTTTATCATTCTGTCTCAGCCAATGAGAGCACAGCATTTACCACAGTATTGTATCACAACCTTTCACCTAGCAGGCTAGCACTGGCAAGGCAGGGCAGCCCTCATTCCTAACTAGAGACGCCATACTTGTGATAATTTCATTTAGTAATAAAATCGAGCTTTGGACGATAGAGCAGTGTTTAAATCTTTATTAAACAGTATTGGTCAACAGACTCTCAATATGTCCTCGCTGTTCTCCAACCTCCGTGGAGAGCAGAGGGAAGGTGCGGAGGCTTATTATGATTCTATGAAAAGATTAACTTCAAACGACAAAAATGTGATAAATTCCTTAACAGAAATCGCCTATGAAAACCGTTCTCAGGCCAAAATTATTGTCCATGTCATCGAGAAGAGAATTTCTATGGTAAGTTTAGTTTTCTTAATTTTGAGTTTAAAGTTTTTACGGTTTTCCTCGATTGTAGCACTGCCGTTTTAAAAGTCGGCTAGATCTAATTTTATGATAAGTGGTTTAGGATTTGTTCTAAAAACCCTATTCGAGCCTCGCGGCTAGGACGCGCCATATATCCCAACAACATTCATATGTTCGTCACTACATATATAAAATAGTAGACTAAGAGGGGGGGGGGGCAAACCATTCTCTAGAAAATTACTTTAAACTCTGAAGCAAAACGGATATACAGATATTTTATGCTTTTATACTAAGGTATACAATTGAAAGTATGCTAGATGGGGTGGGGGTAGAGTGTATCTAAAATGGCGTTAAATATGACTGGGATCTTTTTAAACTTATTTTACTCTCCGTTAATTTTTGAATTATGTTCTAGGCTCCCTCCGACCATCTGCTCCCTCACCTGTACCTCCTGGACTCCATCTGTAAGAACCATGGAAATCCTTTCACGGATTTATTTCAATTTAATCTAATCAACACTTTTATACACGTCTTCCACAAGGTTAATGAGAAGGTAACTTATAAAAATACATCTTATTTATTTACTCATGATGTTTGCGACCTTTTTGGTGAATTATTCCGCATTGTGTTGTTTCTATATCGATGAAGAAAAATTTTTTTATATCGTAGGAGGAAAATTATTCACGAGAACGAGAAACAATATGTTGCTACTTTCTACGCAATTTTCAGCAAAAAATGCAAAGTTCAATTTTATTTTTTATTTTTATTTAATAAAATTTGTTGGTTCTAATTCTTTTATTTAGGTACGAACAGCGATGTATAAACTTCGTTATACCTGGACGGCCGCCAATCTTTTCAAACCAGCAACTCTTCAAGAACTTGACCGCCGAATTCATGAAATAGATCCCGCCTGGCCAATTCTGAAGAGCTACGCTCCCCCGCAGACCCAACATGGCGGTGGTTCGCATAAAATTTTAATTAATCCCACCCAGCCCAATCAACATGGTGGTTCGCATAAAATTTTGATCAATCCAGCCAAATTTCCACAGGTAAATATAATTCATCACCGAGATATAAAAACTCTAAATGGGGGAAAACCACAACCTGATTTCATGATGTGATCGAGTTTAAAAGTTAAAGACTTTTGACGACTTTTGAGAAAAGAAAAATGTTTGGCTTCATAAAATGTTCTATATTTTTTTAGAATATAAACGGTTTGGTGAAGTAAAAGTAAAGTTAAAGGGAGTGTTCGCGAAAAATGAAAGGGGGTATAGGCTTAGTGCGATAAAAAAGCGCTTTTGATCGCTACTAATCTTACTTCTATCTGTTGCGTCTATAAGGAGAAAATTGTTAAAGACTTCTCATACCGAATAACTTAGCGGCCATACAAATTGAGAAAATTACAACATACGAGTTAGACCAGATTATTACATTGGTTAATAATATAAAAGTGTGTAAATCGTCCTGATTAAATAAATGATTTTTTACGGGAAATAACATTATTAGGGGGGATTTAATCGATTTTTAGGGGAAAATTGATGATTATATGGGGTGAAAGGATGAAAAATCCCGTCTTTTTTGTCCAATTTTTCATATCTTTCCCCCCCCCGGTTTAATTCTTAAGATATTCACCCCTGCTATTATAGTCTACTGGTTCTAAGCTGCGTGTACCTGAGCCTGTGCTGCGTATTGAGGAGGAAACTGAGATGATGAGAACTGAGTTGCTACGGAAGGAGAAGGAGCTGCTTGAACTCAAGAAGAAGGATATTGATCAGCAGCTCCAGGGGCTTAAGATGCAGCAGCAGATCAAAAATAACTCGGTAAGCTATGTTTGATTTAATGTATGTCAGATAGGGGATCCCGCCCTCCTGCCACGGGTATTTGACGAGGGGAAATTAAAAAAGAAAGTTATCACCTCTTTCTGAAACCTTTCCCCATAAAATTGATAAAAGCTTAATGTCACTGCTTAGTATCTGGATTCATTGGATCCGGAATATTTTTGCTTTCTGATCCGGATCCTAGGCATTAATTAAAAACCAAAACCTTCTTAAAAAATCTTGTCCCACTTTACACGAATTTCAACTGTTAACTAATTAAAAAATATTAATAACTGTACAATCTCTGTATGGTTTTCAAAATTTCAGCATAAAATAATCGAAAATTTTGAAAAATTTTCATTAGTACAAAATCTAGATGAAATGTCCATGACCTGGATACGGATCTTTTTGAGGACGGATCCAGGATCCGGATCCTGGATCCGGATCAAACTGAATGGATCCTGAGCATTGTTCGAAATAGAGTGGGAATTTTTTTTTTTAATAGATAATTTGTATATTGTGAGGGGGGGAGGGTTAAAAGAAAACAATATAACATCCTTGCGGTGGGCCCTTGGTAAAATGTAGCTACCCGTTAGAAGCATGATTTAAGCAAGATTGTGTAATAAGGTTGGTTACTCTCGATGCGCTCTAATGTACGAGAAATTTCGTCTCCTTGGCGTTGGCATAGATAGATAAAATCCGTATATGACATCACTCTCACCTCTATAATCAGTGACATGATATGAGGATGTTATCTATCCATGTTAAGGAGACAACATTTCTCGTACATTGTAGCGCATCGAGAGTAACCAACCTTATTATACAACCTTAGATTTGAGAGTTCAATAATTAGATTAGAACGAGTTTTGTTCGAGGAAAAATGATGTCCGATTTTATGTTTTTTCTATGAACCAATTTTAGATTTGATGTAAATGATCATATAATGGTTAAATTGTTAAAAATGCTTTGTCATGATATTTCTGACACATTGCGTATTTTCAGCTGGATGGTACAGCCAGTACGCCTGATGACGCCAAAGTATCTACTAAGAAGGTTCGATTAATCCAGACGGACGTATGTCGGCGTATTAAGTATATTTTCAACCCCCAATACAACTCATGTTGTAATAGTTCAAAGTTTAGGCTTAATAAAATCTGTGTAGGCCAACTGTACCTTTCTCTTTAATAAAAGTGTTGTACTGTACGGGGCTCCAATTAAATATATGAATGGTGGAGTTCTGTACAGTTTACACAATCAGGTTCACAACAATTCAGGGTTCAAGCTATTACGCTTCAGATTCTGCTATATTCTAATTATAAGCAGAAAGGTCAATTTACTAATTTATTCACTAGGGTACAACTTGATTTTTAGTCATAACTGGATTAAGTTAAACAGTGTGATTACCATTAATGGGAGTTTAAGTTACGCAAACAGCAGAAGAAATGAATAGGAAGGATGCACTAAAATTAACGGAGACAGGGGGAGCAAGATAAAAGCCAAATGTGAGATTCAATAGAAAGATTTTGAGCTGTACTCATATTTAAAGGGGCGGAAAACGAAAGTGCAAGTGACTCAACATAAAAAAGAGGGGCGTTTCGGATTCACAACAATTTCCCAAAACTTTGACTAGAACAATAATGGATGAGATATTCATGTATTTTCATTGAATATTGATTATTTTCAAGTGGGTTCTTCTTTTAAAGTGACTTGAAAATTTCTACTGCAGAAAAAATTTAGAAAATTGTCCGAATTTAAAACTTTTCAGACTTGAAAACGACGATATCTTCTACATTATTGATGAAATAAAAGTATAAAGGATACTGTTGGTTCTGGCATATCTCTCTCTTTAGATGGAGAGCCCCTGTCTGCATTAAGGGACACTCCAAACTACAACGACATTGTCATGAGATAGAAAGAGATTGGGTAGATTAGGAGATGAACAGAGGTAGTATTAAGTAGAAAGAGATGGAGAAAGAAATTGTTTGGGAGTGAAAGAGTAAGTTTCGAGATTATTTGGGAGAGAAAGAGTAAGTTGTCGGAATTAGAGTATACAGAGAAAGAGCTGCAAGTTGACCAATGACTATTATACTGAGTATACAGAGGAAATTAGTAAGTTGACTATGACACAAAGTATACTGAGAAATAGTAGTAAGTTTACTATTATACTGAGTGTAATGAGATAGAGTAGTAAGTTGACTTTTATACTGAGTATACAGAGGAAGCGTAGTAAGTTTATTATAATACTGAGTATACAGAGAAAGAGTAGTAAATTGACTATGATGCTGAGTATACAGAGAAAGAGTAGTAAATTGACTAAGATACTGAGTATACAGAGAAAGAGTAGCAAGTTGACTATTATATGAAGTATTCAGAGGAGGAATAGTAAGATGACAATTATACTGAGTGTACAGAGAAAGAGTAGTAAGTTGATTGTTATGCAAATTAAACAGAGAAAGGGTAGCAAGTTGACCATTGACCATTATATTAAGTATACAGAGGAAGAGAGTAAGTTTAATATGGTACTGAGTATACAGAGTAGTAAGTTGACTTTGATATTAAGTATACAGAGGAAGAGTAGTAAGTTTAATATGGTACTGAGTATACAGAGTAGTAAGTTGACTTTGATACTAAGTATACAGAGGAAGAGTAGTAAGTTGACTATTTTGCAAATTATACAAAAAAAATGGTAGTAAGTTCTTTATTGTACTGAGTTTACAGAAAAAGAGTAGTATATTGACTTTTATATCGGAGTATATAGGGAAAGAGTAGTAAGTTGACTTTAGTACTGTGATTAGAGAGAAGATTAGTAAGTTGACTATTATATTAAGTATACAGAAGAAGCGTAGTAAGTTTATTATAATAGTGAGTATACAGAAGAAGCGTTGTAAGTTTATTATAATACTGAGTATACGGAGGAAGCGTTGTAAGTTTATTATAATACTGAGTATACAGAGGAAGCGTAGTAAGTTTATTATAAAACTGAGTATACAGAAGAAGCGTAGTAAGTTTATTATAATACTGAGTATACAGAAGAAGCGTTGTAAGTTTATAATAATACTGAGTATACAGAGGAAGCGTAGTAAGTTTATTATAATACTGAGTATACAGAAGAAGCGTAGTAAGTTTATAATAATACTGATTATACAGAGGAAGCGTAGTAAGTTTATTATAATACTGAGTATACAGAGGAAGCGTAGTAAGTTGACTATAATACTGAGTATACAGATGTAAGTTTACTATAATACTGAGTATACAGAAGAAGCGTAGTAAGTTTATTATAATACTGAGTATACAGAGGAAGCGTAGTAAGTTGACTATAATACTGAGTATACAGAAGAAGCGTAGTAAGTTTATTATAATACTGAGTATTCAGAGGAAGCGTAGTAAGTTTATTATAATACTGAGTATACAGAGGAAGCGTAGTAAGTTGACTATAATACTGAGTATACGGAGGAAGCGTTGTAAGTTTACTATAATACTGAGTATACAGAAGAAGCGTAGTAAGTTTATTATAATACTGATTATACAGAAGAAGCGTAGTAAGTTTATTATGATACTGAGTATACAGAGGAAGCGTAGTAAGTTTATTATAATTCTGAGTATACGGAGGAAGCGTAGTAAGTTTATTATAATACTGAGTGTACAGAGGAAGCGTAGTAAGTTGACTATAATACTGAGTATTCAGAGGAAGCGTTGTAAGTTTATTATAATACTGAGAGAAAGAGCAAGTAAATTGACTGACACTGAGTATACAGAGAATGAGTAGTAACTTTGCCATGATTCTTAGTATATAAAAATTTCCACAGACATATTTTTTTCTCGTTTTTTATGTTTATTCTGGATACACTTTCTTTTTGTACGAACAAATGAAGTGTGGACATTTTTTTTTAGTAATGTTAAAGGGAGTGAAGGTTAAACATAATTTTTAAAAATCACAAGGTAAACAGTGGGAGAAACACAAGAATTTATTCAAAACTAAATGGTTATATTATTGACGAGATTTTCAAATATTGTTTTCCTTTTTAAACACCTCGGATACTTCTTTGTCCTAAAATATTCCATTTAATTTTCTTCGCTTTATGGTCGATTTTTTTCTAACCGTTTAAGTAATCATAAACACAGGTGTTGTAAAGTATGCTATCTGTGTGTTGTCAGTGATGAATATTTGAATTTAAAATATTCAATAATATATTAAATTTTTGTCATTGTTAAATATGAACGGGTTGTTGTCATTTTGAAGGGTTCTGGTGATAACTTTCTTATGGATTAAATAGCACGTTTGGTAATGAAAAGTAAAAACAATATTGGTTCCAAACAAGGCAAAAAGAAAAAAGTGTCAATTAAATTTTCATTTTTACAATGAACTTGAAATCCATCCATCCAATCATATCTTTTTTTATGTTTAAATCTACAAATTTAATTTTTATGAAGTCCTTAATGTCTTATTAACTTGTATTCCATAAAAGTTAAATGATTGAAAAATCATAACATCAGATTCAGATATATGGAGTTATTCCGACTTTGGACATGATTTTTTGTTTGTTAGGGGGGGGGTTATTCTTTATTTTTACTTTTTATATCAGGATATATATCCCTGCAACCTTTAAATGTTTGATGTCATGATATATGTTATCACCCTTATCTGTGATATCATTATAATTTGTCTATAATTGATAATATAAATCAATATGTGGTAGAATTCAATGTTTATGTTGCAAGTACAGTTTGAACCTTATCATTTGATAAATTTCAACATTTTCCTGTATTGGTCATTCATCAAACTGAAGGGATGACGAAATAGATTCAAGTTTTCCTACAGTTAAATATTAACACCGGAGATTCTGTAAATGTGGGTTTACTTGTATTTTGACTGATAATCCATTTTAATTTTCCTAATACTAAAAAGTCAGAGGCGTACGCACAGGGGGGGGGGCAATGGGGGTTCAGTCCCTCCAAGGATCAGTAAAATTTATTGTTATTAGGAGGGTTTCAGCCTCTAACGGGTGCTAAGCAGCCCGCTGCCCCCCCCCCCAAAGAAATCAAATTTAAGCCCCCCTGGAAACCAGAAGAAATTATTTGTTATACTTCCAGAATATTGGAACTGAGGTATTTAGGGGTAAACTTTTTTATAGAAACATTAAGCAGCCAAAAAAGATTAAATTTAGAAATAAAGTTAATTTATTAAAAGGGAACTTGTGTAAAAATCATATTGATCAAGGTATTAATATAACCGTCTTTAACCCCCGAGCTTTGAAAAAAAAAACTTTTTTAACCCTACCTAAGTCAAATTTCAACTTGTCCGCTTATTTTTATGATTTGTTTTCACCTTAATTAAAATTTAAACCAAAAATACATTTGAAAAAATGTTCTTAGAACTCTTTAAAGAATGTATTTGTTTCTTGAAAATATTTACCCCTATTGGTATATTATAAACCCTGCATCTGATTCTAGACAACAAACAAATAAATTAAAATTAATCATAAAAAAAAGAGTTTGATGTACATTATGAACCTTTATACCAAAATCTGGAGATGGTCGGTTAAAATCGAGAATGCTTTTTCTTGCATTGTTCTTTTGAAAAATAATGTTTTGAGGGAATTTAACACATCCAATATTTACTAATGGAGGGCAATACATTTATTTTATCGCCCTACAACTACTGGTGGATAAGTTTTTTGGCCCGTTTTTAAACGTTAAAAGTTTTTAGGCTTTTTAAAATTTTCACAAGAATCTATTTTAAATTTGCATGAAAGACAAGGCTTTTTAAAAGCTTCACAAGAATCTATTTTAAAATTGCATAATAGACAATTTTTATTACACAAAGAAAAATTTTAGCCAATGATATTGACCAAAACGATTTTTCAAAACAGAAAACGATTTTACCAATCGTTTTAAAAAGATCGTTATGGTTAATATCTTTGATAAGAGAATAATTTTTCAGTGTGCAATAAGAGCCTCAAAACCTGCAACAGGGCAATTAAGTAACTTCATCGACCTGCTACAGAAATTTCTTAATATTTCTCGTTGGTCCTTTTAGGGTGATTAAGTAACTTTATCGACCTGCGTTGAGGAAATGTCATGCGTACGAAAAGTTTTTGCTGGGATTTTTACTTTTTCAAAAAATAACATTTTTCGCACTTGATAAATAGATAGTAGTTTACAATCAAAGCTTGTACAAATTATCGTTATATTTATTTTCAAAAGCAAAATTTAAAAAATTTATATTTTTATATACTTTCTTTAGACACATAAAGGTTTCACAGACTGGATTAAATTTAAAATTGTCATTGTGCCAGAAATAATTTTAATTAGAAATCAAATTATTAACATAAAACAATTATTATATTTATTTGAATAAAATTCCGTTATTGGAAACATTGTACTGGGAAAGAACTAGTATACATAAACCAGTAAATATTTCAATATGCATCTATCGCAGGTGTATAAATATTTTATGTCATAAATGACCTAGATTATTTTTTATCATAGTACGCCTTGAAAATGTTAATGTAAATAGCAAAATTTTATATTTTTCAACAGTTGTTGTCATAGTGATGCAATAAATAATTTAACATATACTTAATTCTTGCAATATTTTTTTTGTCTGGATTAATTTTGTCTTACAAAACTTTTTAAAGTAACAATATTATTTTTTAGACGAGGACTGTTACTTTAACAATGTTTTTTTTTAACCATGTTGGAATTTGGAATAATTTTAGGTTTCAAGCTCCAGCAGTTCGGAGAGCAGAGATCCAAGGAAGAGAAGGAAACCAGAGTCGGAGAAACATGAATCCGTTCCGTCGGAGCTCTCCAGCTCTAAGTCTGACACCAAGAGCACCAGTAGGTCTGAATCCCGACACAAAGATCGTAGTCCAAACAGAAAATCCGCCAGATCTGAAAAGAGCAACGGAAGTAGTCACAGCAGCACCAGCAGCTCTAAAAGATCTTCAAAATCCGAGGACAAGAAAAAGTCCAGTCCTAAAAAGGAGGAGAAGAAGGAGAAAAAACGAGAGCCGAGTCCTAAGTTTTCCAGGTCTCCAACCCCAGTTGTGGACGGACGAATTTCTCCTCTCCCCCCGCCTCCGTCCAACAAGATCCCTAAACTCCGGAAGGGTGAAGAAGAGAAGAGGGAAGAGAAAAGAGCGGAAAAGCGAGCATCTGAGGACGGGAAAAGAACACCGCCGCCGGAAAAACGTCCACGACCAATTAATATAGAGTAAGTTAGGTTTTTCAAGCAAAAAAATCTATTCGGGAAGGAAAAAATATTCGATACCGCTAAATTACGAAAAAATGTATTTTTTCGTTTTATGTTTTAAGGCGAAAATGAAACAAGTTTTTGAATAGATTGAGACAATATTTTCTTTGTCATATGAAACAAAATTATAAAACAGTTGTTGGGGTCGCGCAATCATCAGAAAATCGTTAGAAAATAATTTTCGAGTGTCTGAAAGCATTTAAAAACGACTTTGTGTTTTTTCGGCATTCAGGTTAAAACTACAATTCCATAATTTACGGAAGACTGTAAAACCTTTAAAATCTGGTGTAACTTTCTCGTTTTTCTTCTTCTAGATTGATAATTTCTTCTGTTAACATTCTTCTATTCCTAGTCTAATCTTCCTATCTATGTATTCTATCTATTTATTCCAGTCTATTTTTGAACTTTATTTCTTTCAAAATTTCACATTCTTGCGTTTCCTCGGTTATTTACGTAAATATTTCTTTTTAATTCATATTTTTAAAATATTACTAGCCTATATCTTCTCATATTATTAAATAACTAGCCTAAATCTTATCTTTTTTCATATTCTTCTAATCCTAGCATATTTATTATCTTTTATACACATTGTTTATAACTAGCCTATATCCTATATTTTGCTCATATTCTTATATTCCTAGCCTACATCTTCTGTTTATTCATATTCTTCTATTCTTAGCCTACATCTTCTATTTTTTTCATATTCTTCTATTCCTAGCCTACATCTTCTATTTATTCATATACTTCTATTCCTAGCCTGCATCTTCTTTTTATTCGTATACTTTTATTCCTAGCCAATTTCTCATCTTTTATTCATATTCTTCTATTCCTAGCTAATTTTTTCTCTTTTATTCATACTCTTCAATTCCTAGCCTTTATCTTCTTATTTTTTCGTATTCTTCTATTCTAGCCTATTCATATTCTTCTCTTCCTAGCAAATATCTTCTCTTTTATTCATATTCGTCCATTCCTAGACTTTATCTTCTTTTTTATTCGTATTCTTCTATTCTAGCCTATTAATATTCTTCAATTCCTAGCCTATATCTTCTCTTTTTTTCATATTCTTCCCTTCCTCGCCAATATCTCTTTTATTCATATTCTTCCTTCCTAGCCAAATCTTCTTTTTTATTCATATTCTTATATTCCAAGCCTATATCTTCTCTTTTATTCATATTTTTCGATTCCTAGCCTATATCTTCTTTTTTATTCACATTCTTCTATTCATCTCCTATATCTTCTCTTTTATTTCAGACTTCAGAGCACTTGAACATTTTTCATATAAAAAAACGTGCAACTGCATAATTTAAAAAATTAAATTTCATATTTTTTTTCTTGTTTAGTTTGGTTGAAGATTCCTCTGTGAGAGATACTAGCAGTCCAGTAGTTGGTTGGGCTAAACATAAGGAATTTTATTCTTCAAATACATTTACCGTTTTATCACGTTCTCTGTAAGTTTTGGGTTAATCTAAAAATTTACTCAGCTAAGCCAAAAAAAATCTTCCAAAGATTATTTATTTTTCAAATATTATGAATCAACCAATTAAATTTTTTTCAAGTAACTCTAAAAAGCTTTTTTATTTGATATCAGCCACATCAAATAACGGGTATTTTAACAAGTTTGTTTGATTGAAGAATTAAATTTTAATCAGGAATCGAACCCTGACAAATTCCGGACACCAAACAAAGAAATGGGGCCATTCTTTCAGGACCATGGGCCTCCTGGACCTTGGATGGAGGACAGAGGTCGAGGAAGAGGCTTTAGGGGCTTCAGAGGACACAGAAACAACTGGGGTGGAGGACGAGGACGCTTTAACGTAAGAGAAATTTATTTAATCTGTAAATCACATTTTAATTCTCATTTTTTTTAGGATTTCCCCCGCTTCCCCCATCAGCAAGGATTTATGGGACCCATGTTTGGATTCCAACCTCGAGGTGGAATGGGTCCACCCTTCCGACCCGGGTTCCGGATGCCATCTGGTCTACCCGGCTTACATGGTCCTGATATAACCAAGACTGATCCGGTCATCATACGGAAGGAGGTGATCCCCAATCTGATGAAGCTTGGGCAGGAGTGCAAGGAGAAGGGAACGATCGACGAGGTACAGTTCCGTGAGTTCATGAACCAGGTGATGCAACTCAAAGAGACGAGTTTGAACCGTGAAGCCGAGATGCGGCAGAACCGTGATGTCGAGCTGCGACAGAACCAGGAGAACAAAGAAAATAGGTTTCAACGTCGTGGTGTGCATGGATTCCCCTCGGCCGGAGACCGTCTTAACGGTGCGGACGATCGGGTTGAAGATAAGAAAATCCCCCACGTGGATGGAACACATAACCGTCCACGCACTGATATCATCAGTCCTCACAAGAATGATCTACCTCTGGCCAATCCTACCGAACTGGAGGAGATCAAGAAAGATCCAACCCGAACCCTGAACATAGACGACATTCCTCGTGCCATCCGTTACTACGGAGAAACGGCAACCATAGCGATGGATGATAATCTCATTTGCGAGCTCGCCTTTAAACCTGAACGGGAAAGTCGATGTGTTCTGGTGGATAATATAGCGGTGTACTGTGAAATTAACACCGATCGCTACACTAAGTTTATGCTGAACGGTAAAACCCACAAGCTGAGGATAGGAAATCCAACCCGTGAATTATGGATAGATAACGAGTGGTATGAATGTTATTTTAACAGCAAAATCCGGATCAAGATAGACAATAATTATCATAATATATTCTTACCTGGACCCCCACCTTCTGTGGATATTGGGAAGGTTCGACATGATCTGTGCCGCGGTCGTGTTTATGCTTTGTTAGATGGAAATCTGGACAGTAGAACCCCTCTCTATCTTGATTCAAAGCCCCAGCTGCTAATAATTGGTTACAAGCCTCATGTTCTTCGTTTCGTGGAGGGATTTAAAACTCTGACAATCAACGGACATCCGTTTAGAACGGACTTTGGGGGATTTCCTATGGTGATATCCGTTAACGGTTTTAAGCACTATGTTCGTTTGACGTCGTTTCCCACAGGGGCCTGGGATGAGGATAAACAGTGCTATCGGCCGATTTCTCCCCGGATGGACGAACGACTCTCTCCGGTCGGAAGTCCTAAGGATGATGTTGGATTACACTCGCAGGATCCGCTAAACCAGATGATGTCCGTCCTACCCTCTTCTTCTAATTCCAAAAGATCGGAAACTCCAAATAATGTAAGAATTTTTTATTTTACAGGATTATACAAATAGTTTATTTTTATCATACTTGTTTTTCATAATCTGTATTAAAATTTTTCAAATTTTTAATTTGTATTATTTTTTAGTTTTGGATTTTCTTTTAAGTATTTTTTTTCTCATTTTTCATTGTTTTTATCAATATTAATTCACGTCATTGTTTCAGTACGGAACTAGTCCCGGAGTTACGGGCCCTCCACCCAACCTTACCTCAACCCCAACACATCCTCCACCCTCCCCGCCGCCCTCTTAGCTCCTCCACCTTCCCTCAACTCTACACCCGCCATTGTAGATGTCCCCGCCAGACAGCCGGCTGTTCCTGAGGCGATAGTTGCTCCGCCCATCGTAGATGCCCCGGCCCCTGATATAAATGATCTGTGGGCCAAATTACAGAGCTCTGGGGTTCTCTCTCTCTTTGGAACTGGTGGCGTTGGTTCAGCGGCGGGTATACCTGGACTAGCTGTACAACAGGAACCGGAGAGACCCGCCGAATCGCCGATTAGTTTCCCAAATGCGCCGACTCGTAAAGTTCGACGGAACTCTGTTGGAATGAAGGAAATACAATTGAAATCCCACGATCCTTCACTCAAGGAGTAAGTTTTTTGAAGTTACATTATAAAGAATTAATAATAATTTTCGACAACTGGAGAGAGGGTGGATGCTAAATTAGACATCAACTGGGAAGTATTTCCCCCATTTTTATACTAAGAAATTATTGATTTTCTAGAATTTAATGAAATGAGTCCTAATTTATTTTGCAAACATTTCTAATATATTGGTTTGGAAGGGGGGGGGGGGATTTGAAGAAAATGTAAGCCCCTGGAAGAAAGTACTGTAACAAATCTTTAATTTAGGCGACATCAATATGTCATTGATAGTTTATTTGGACTCTCAGACTTACAGTGCAAATCATGTGGATTAAGGTAAAGAATAACGAAGATCACGTAAATTTTACTGATTTTAGAATAAGTTATACCCAGAACCAGGAATTAATTTACGATTAAAGGGAGTGTTAGCGAAGAATGAAAGGGGTTATAGGCTTACGTCGAAAAATAATCGATGGTGATTGCTACTAATCTTACTTCTATCTCTTGCGTCTATAAGGAGAAAATTGTTAAAAACGACTCGTACCGAAGAACGTAGCGTCCACACAAATTCAGAAAGTTGCAATATTCGACTCAGTTCGAAAAAAATCAATTTAATTTCAAACAATTTCTGGCAATTTTAAACGTACAATAAAGGCAGACCACATTTTGGAATTGACAGGACTAGGGCAATTTTAATATTATCTTTTTATCAATCATTTTGTAGAATCTTTTTTATCGAAATAAAAAAATTCACAGGCAAGGCCGGGCACTTCAGCTATTTAATTATAAATTAATTCCGGGTCTTTCTGGTTATCATTAAAACAAATTTCAAACTTGGACATTCTTTATTTCTAATTCTGATTAATTGATAAGGTTTAACTCTGAGGAAATGGGATTTTACAGTTCCCATCTGGATTGGCACTTCAGGCTCAAGAGGAGAGAGAGGGATAACGCTAGGAAGGCGCAGAGCAGGTACACCATGATGCTGTAGATCTATTTACAGTGGGACCCAAAAAACTGTGATGCAGAAATACGAAAAAAATAATCATCCTAATGGGGAATTCCTATTTCTTCACCGAAATTAGTTTTACTAGTGGTTTAAAATTAACAGATTTAGTTAAATTAACCTGTAAACAATGTATATTTTGTGTGTTATATGTTCATTGGCCTATTTGTAAAGGCATAACTTGAGTCTTTTTTTCTATTCCAGGGTTTTATGGATATCATCTTTGTTTCTTAAATCTTTCTCTCTTTTTTTGATGAAATTGATCAGAAGTAGAGCATTTTCACATATCTCTATTTGTTTACAATTAGGGTTGAGCTTAAATGTCGTCTTTTAAGAAAGAATGTTTTGAGAAATAACAAAAATTATTACTTCGGTCAAAAATGTAGTTCAAACAAATACTGAGAGTTTTACTTGGTTTTAAGATGTTCTCAGCAAAATATGATTGATTGATTGATTTATTGTTGATTGATTGATTGATTTATTGATTAGGCGTTGGTATTATGAGAAGAACGACTGGATTGTCTCTGATGAAATTGAGGACGATGAACATGGTAAATAATTTTATTATTTTTATTTTTTTTTATGTTCTTATCATATAAGGGATTTATTCGCTGAATTTGGGGAATTTAATAATTTTTAGGAAAACTAACTGAATTACTAGGTAAAAAGTATTAAATAAGGGTGTGAACGTGTCCAATTTTTGATTTTTTCCCCCCAGAAAATCTAAAATCATTCTTGATTCTTTAAAAGTTTCGTTTATATTTTCTTTTATTTTTTTGTTTAGACATGACCGAGGAGGATATTATCCTTGAGCAGAGTATGGAGATTCCAACGGTAGCTGCCCGGGGGGCGGGGAACCAGGAGGGTGGGGAGGAAACCTGCCCTGTGTGTACTGAGGTGTTCAGTCAAGTATATCGACAGGAAGGAGAAGAGGAGGGAAGCTGGCAACTCCATAATGCTATGCGAGATGATCTAGGAGTGGCGTATCATCCAGAGTGCTACAAAGATAAGGAGGCACAGGAGAAGAGGGCTTTAGAGAATCCTCGGGATTCAACTCCAGAACACGATGAGAGTATGGAGGTCGAAGACGAGGTCAAGGTTGACCTTGGGGAGTTAAAAATGGAGGTTCAGGAAGGAAATGTTGAGGTTAAGACTGAGCCTCTGGAGCAGTCTCAAGATGAGGACGTGGAGATGATTGAGGTTAAATCTGAACCAGGAGCAGAGGTCAAAACAGAAGTCGTAGATGATCTTATGCCCAAACCTGAAGGAGTTGAACCTGTTGATTCCGAATCTGAACCCATGAAATCCGGTGAGGAACCTCTAGAATCCGGAGTTGAATCTGCCGGAGCCGGAGCTGAACTCTCTAAGACCGAAGCTGAAGCTGGTGGTGCAGAGACTAAACCTGAGAAGGTTGATCTGGATTTATCCATGAGCTCCAACCTGGAGAATAAACCTCCTGTACCTGTTTCCATCCCTAAACCCAAGGTAGTCCAGAGCAATCAATCAATCAGCAGCTCTTCCAGCTCAGTTAGTTCTTGTGTATATTGTAATACAATCTTATATATATGTATATTTATCATACATAATACTCAATTAGTGATTTTGAAAGGAAACTTGAATTTCTTTTCCTTTTCTTTATTTCTTTCTTGGACACAAGTTACTATTTGTTGTCTCTTTGTCCTATTGTGGAGTGAGATGTTAATATTGTGACATTTGTGAATTTATTTGTGGATTTTATTCTCTTGCGTTGATTTTCATGACAAATGCGATATGATTTATAGTCAAGAACATCTTCATGCCAATCGCATTTTTGATCAAAAAAGCCCTGGTATCATTTACATTGATAAAAAACGAAAAACTTCTGATAACTAAAAAGTATTAAATGACAAAAAAAATCTACTTCTTGGAACACATTATCAAATGTTTTCTTAAATATTGATAATTATGAGAATCCTTGGAAGTTTTCGTGTTAACGCCTACGTCAGAAAACAGAACAGATGTCTAAGATTTTGAATTAATTTATTTAGAAAGAAGGTTAAGTTTTGGGAAACAAAGAAATTCACTATTTTCACACAAAGATTGTACTGCAGTTTCTGGAAGGAATGTAAACATACACCGTGTTGCCGAGGCCAAGTTTTGTTTAGATTCCTCCCAGAAACTGCAGTACACATTTTTTTTACCTAAAATATTGGGGCTTTGCATATTCTAAGTTATACATTCCCAAAGTCAAGTATCTGCAAAAAAGATATTGAAAATTAACTCTCAGTACCATCCGCACCAGTGCTTACGATCCATTTAATTTTGATGCGGATCCGGATCCTGGATCCGCACTGGAAAAAATGGATCCGGATCCAGGTCATTTTTTAAGATTTACTGAATTTTTTTAACAAAAAATAATTTTCAAATTTTTTGTTTTATTTTTTTTCGCTTGTTTTTATCCTATAACTTGATAAACCATTGAGAAATGAGGAAATTTTTATAATCTCTCTTTTTTTCAAAGTTTAGAACTGGGGTTTACGAGTAAAAAAGGGTTTTTTTCAGTTTTTGGTTGATATTTTACCCCTTGGATCCGGATCCGTGGATCCGCATATTCTTGCAGATCCGGATCCAGGAAGCCAAAATCTTGCGGATCCAACGGATCCGGATCCTAAGCACTGATCCGCACCAAAGCAGATTAAAGGTTTTGGGTAATAATGGCGTTCCAATTTCAGATTTAATTTTTGGGTTTAAAAAATCTAAGGAATCCAAACATTGGGAATTCAGTTTTTTTATTATTAATTTGGAGTGTAAGTGACTTTTTTCAGGGTTTTCTTTCCAGAAACTTGTTAGTTAACTGTAACGTGCATATTTATATACTACTCTTCGTTCCTATCGTATACCTTTCCACTTCTGCGTAATCTTTTTTACCTCTGTACTCATTCTTTTTGTCTCCTATAATTTTTCTCCTCCTCCTTCTCTCCATATACTCTTCCTTTCCTTCCCTTTATACGCCTATCCAGGGGCGTATTTAGGAATTTGTTCAGTAGGGGACTTTAGAAAAAAATCTTTTTTNATCCCCGATCCTGTTTATTTTTTACCTTAAAACCCTCCTCTTTCTCTTGCGTTTTCTTGGTAACAAATTCAAGTTGAAAACAAGTTTTCTTTATTTTCTCGAGTTTAGGGTTAAAATTGTCGTTTTATGATTTGGTTTTTAACTTTCTTTGTAACTTGTTGCTTTCCATCGGCACGGTAACTAATTAAGTATATTTTTTGGCTTTAAAACCACTCCATATTTGTATTTGTTTGGTAGTCAGTTAGGGTTGGAAATGAATCAAAAGCAGGTGTATATTTTCAGTTTGGTATTGGGTAAGAAGTGTAAAAGTCGGCGTTGGACATTTTCATCATTGTTTTGGTTACAGTAAATATATTTTATTTTGTTGGTTACAGTAAATATATTTCATTGGGTTGGTTACAGTAAATAAATTTCATTGGGTTGGTTACAGTAAATATATTTCATTGGGTTGGTAATAGTAAATATATTTTATTGTGTTGGTTACAGTAAATATATTTCATTGTGTTGGTTACAGTAAATATATTTCATTGTGTTGGTTACAGTAACTATATTTCATTGTGTTGGTTACAGTAAATATATTTCATTGTGTTGGTTACAGTAAATATATTTCATTGTGTTGGTTACAGTAAATATATTTCATTGTGATGGTTACAGTAACTATATTTCATTGTGTTGGTTACAGCAAATATATTTCATTGTGTTGGTTACAGTAACTATATTTCATTGTGTTGGTTACAGTAAATATATTTCCTTAGGTTGTTTACAGTAAATATATTTCATTGTGTTGGTTACAGTTAATATATTTCATTGTGTTGGTTACAGTAAATATATTTCATTGGGTTGGTTACAGTAAATATATTTCATTGTGTTGGTTACAGTAAATTTATTTCATTGTGTTGGTTACAGTAAATCTATTTCATTGGGTTGGTTACAGTAAATATATTTCATTGGGTTGGTTACAGTAAATATATTTCATTGGGTTGGTTACAGTAATATACTTCATTGGGTTGGTTACAGTAAATATATTTTATTGTGCTGGTTACAGTAAATATATTTCATTGGGTTGGTTACAAGGTTGATTTGTTTATTTGGTTGGTTCCAGGGCTTGTTCTTTGGAGTGGTTACAAGTTTGGGTCGTTCATTGAGTTAGTTACAGTTTGGGTAGATCATTGGGATGGTCATAGTTTGTTTTGATAATTGGTTTGGCTACCGTTAGGGTTGATTTGGGTTGGTTAAAGTTTGGGTTGATCATTGGGCTGGTTACAAGTATGGCTTGTTAAGGAGGCATTAATTAGGTTGGTTACAGTTTGGGTTGATAAGCGGGTTTGAATATTTATGGGTTGGTTAGGAGTTGGGTGTGTGATTGGGGTGGTTACAAGTTCAGTCTGTTCCTTGGGTTGGTTTTAAGCTTAGTTTGTACCTTGGGTTGGTTGTCAGTTTGGTTTGTACATTGGCTTGGTCACCATTTTTTTCTTTTTTTTTAAGTATACGGGATCAGACTAGTATTCGGGGAATAAATATGTTGTGTTTTAAGAATAGATTATTTTATGGGGTAAGTGAGTGACAGTTTTCCTATTTTGCTTATGCGCTTACCCCTCCCCCCCTCTCGTCTTCAACAATATTCATCTGAATCGCCTAATCTAGGGTGGCCCTCGAAGTTAGAGACATGAATGACATTTAAATAGATATTCAGATGTATTTTCTTAAATCGGTACCTTGCTAATTAAACTGTGACTATGGTTGTTAAATTTAACATGTATTCAGAAATTTTATTATTTTAAATTTGTGCGATTCTCAATTAGTTTAAATCCGTGGCGTTTTATTTGATTTCATTATAACCTTCATCTTTAAGTTTATAATGAAAGATGAATTTATCTTTCTCTGTCAAATGAGCTAATTTTTTAATTTTAGTTCATTACTAACCAAAATTTTATTATAATTTTTTTTCAAATCTGAATTTTTAAGAAGAAAAGAACCTATCTCTTGAGAATATTAATATTATTTATTTTCAGGTTGAAATCAAGGTGTCTTTGACTACTAACATCGTTAAGGTAATTCATTATGTTTTTTTGTTTTTTTTTTTTGCTGGGGGGGATTTACTTAATATTTTTGTCGTTAATCTCGTTCATATTTTTCCTAAAAGCAGAATTTTAATTTTTCAATTGTTAAAAATTTTCTGTGATAAACTTTTTATGAAAGAATTACCATTCTTTAACTTAGATAATTTAAAACTTATTTTGTAATGTTTGTTATCAGCAACTGAGTATGTTTTTTACACTGAATTGATGCAAAATCTCAAAAAAAAGTAGCTCTGTGAGAAGATGCTAAATTCAGCGATTTAATTATTTTATTTTTTCGTTTTTCATTTTTTGTTTTGAATGTTTGACTAAAATTAGTTAAAAATTGCATTTGCAATATTTAAGCAAACTTATAGCATATTATTTAGAAATATGATCTTAGTGTTTTTGGAGCCTTTTTAAACGTTAAAAGAAAAAAAACAAACAAACATAATTCAAGCTGTTATTGATTTATTGTTTGATTTGAACAACATAATATTCTGCAGGGAAAAGGAGATTTAACCCCGTTTCTATTTTTATTTTGGAAACTTTCTTAAATTTTTTCTAAAAGCATTTTAAGTGACCCTCTTTTTCAAGTATGACATGCCCAATTCCCAATGGTACCCTTAAAAGCTGTGTATAATAAATATTAAAGAAGAAATTCAATATTCATGCTTTTAACCAGTGTTTCGGATCCGTATCATTTTGATGCGGATCCGGATCCGCGGATCCGCATCCGTGATGATGGATCCGGATCCTGACTCTGATACGGATCCGGATCCGAGGTAACTTAATAATTAATATAGTCTAATTCAGCCCTAGCTTGTTCCGATCACGTTCATCTTTTAAAAATGAATACTTTATATATTTGAAATTTGCGCCATGTGAGCATTTTCCGCTGAGTAATCCTAAAGTTAAAAATGTCGTCATTACTATTATATAAATGTAAACATTAAATTATTAAAGATAATTTTGAAAAGTTTTCATCATGTAAATAATACATTTACGAACCATTTTGATTTATTTATTCCATGGCGCTACCCGGATCCATATCAACGTTTCCTGATACGGATCTGGATCCGGATCCACCAAATGATACGGATTCGGATCCGGATCCGAAACGCTGCTTTTAACTTTGAAAATTTATTATTTAAAACTGTAGTCCATATATTAAAGTCAATAGCGGATTTCGACTTCATAAATAAGTTAAAGATTTTACTAAAATAAACATATTAAAAGCTAGAATAACGACGAAATCTTCCTCGTTATTGATTTGATAAATTATTAAATTTTTTATTGATTTCATAAATTTTTAATTATTTTACGTTTTACTAGGAGGACAAGATTGAAAGGTCTGAGTCCCTGTCAGAGGATCTAGAGGATTCAGAATTCGACCCAGAGGCCATTATCGTCCCAGCTTTAACACAGGAGGCCAAAGACCTGGCCAAACCGAAGTTAAAGGGTCGTAGCTTAGTGAATTATCCTCCAAACATGAAGGACAAGGATATGTCTGGACTCTGTAGTATCATGTAACTATTCTATAAGCTGTGATTCTTAATTCGTCGACATTTTTTTTTTGATCGAACACTATTCATTCTGTCGCATTTTTGAATATTAGAATATTTTTCATTATTGTATATATGTATTAGCATCATAGCTGTTGCAAACAAATTCATACTGAAGAAGAAAAAATAAAAATATCTATGGCTTAGGGCCTGAAACTACTTATAGACAATCAGATATTTATGTGTATATAAAGGTTAGATTGATTCAGAAACCTAAAAAAACGAGAATAGAAGCTAAATTGTCTCCAGTATAAACGGCTACAAGTAAGTATATGCGACGAATAGAAAAATGCGACGTGAATCGACAGAGACCAGCTAGAGGGGACAGAGTTATCTTAATAAATATTAATTTATAAAACATACAGGGCTCTCAATAAAGTATTAAAAAAATCTCGAGTCTTATTCTAGTGTGGCGTTTGTGTTTTGTGTTAAATTGTATTTATTTCATTTTAAAATGTCAACAGTTTGAGAAGAGAAGGCAAAAAGGAAGGAAGGAAAGAAAGAGTGCAGTGGTAGGAAAGGGAGAGCATAGAAAAAGGAAAGGAAGTGTATAATGGAAGGAATGGAAGAGTATAGAGGAAGGAAAGGAATAGTATAGGTGAAGGAAAGGAAGAGTATAGAGGAAGGAAAGAAAGAGTATAGAGGAAAGAAAAGTAAGAGTATCGAGGAAGGCCGGAAAGGTAGAGTATAAAGTAAGCAAATGTAGAATGTATTGGAAGGAAAGGAAGTTTATAGAGAAAGGAAAGGTAGAGTATAAAGGAAGGAAAGGAAGAGTATAGAGGAAGGAAAGGAAGAGTAAAGAGGAAGGAAACGAAGAGTATAGAGGAAGGAAAGTTAGATTATAAAGGAAGGAAAGGAAGAGCATAGAGGAAGGAAAGGAAGAGCATAGAGGAAGGAAAGGTAGAGTATAGAAGAAGGAAAGGAAGAGCATAGAGAAAGGAAAGGAAGAAAATAGAGGAAGGAAAGGAAGGGTGAAGGAAAGGTAGAGTATAAAGGAAGGAAAGGTAGAATATAGAGGAAGGAAGGAAAGAGTAAAGGGGAAGGAAAGGAAGAGTATAGAGG